CACTAATTTACACGCGCTTCGTCTTCCGTCGTGCGACGACACAAATGAGAGAGAGAGAGAGAGAGAGAGAGTGAGAGAGAGAGAGAGAACGCGGATAATATATAGTTAACCTTCCCGTCGTTATATCGTATAACAATTGATTCGAAGCCTCTATTCGCCTGTGTGTGTGTGTGCGTGTAATATCCGATATATCTCACGCCCGCGCCAATATTCGATTTCGTTACGTACGTAGCTACGCGGCAGCTTCGATTTTTTTGTCTAACCCTCCAGAGAGGAATAATCCGCCAGCTGGACATTAAAAGCCAACAGTGCGCTCACAGTGCGTGGCCGGCGGCGATCGGTGATGGACCCCGCAGCACACGAAACAGCTCCCTGGTGGCGCCGTTAGTAGAACTGTGCGTATTCATCCTCTCCCCCCCTTCCCCCCCAGGAAGCGAGATTGCGCGGAAATCCCCCACGGGGCTGCTCGACCCCCGCGTGTAATTTCGTCATTTGGCCGACTTTACGGAATTGCGCTTTTTCCTCCGCTCCGCGTGAGGTTTACGTAGTACGTTGTTTAACGAACGAACGGGGGTCGTTTGTTTTCGAAGAGACAAATTAGTTCGAACGAGCGATTTTTTGTTTTTTTCGCGCGAAGCTACAATTTGCTATTTTTCACGGTTTTTGTTTCCACTTGTTTTCAAATATTAAAACAGCGAGAAACAATCGACGGTATGTTTTATACAGAATTTTTGTTTTCCATTGTAAAATCTTCGACAAAGTTCTCCCAAAAGGCCCCCCGAAGGTCGGGATTTTATTTGCGATCGATGTTTGCTCACTCCAAAGGCAAACGTTCGAAACCTTCGTACGGCGAACACAGCACGCGTGCTGTGCAAGGGGGCCGTCTGTAAGTATCGAGAGTCGTATTCGAATCCCGCGGATACACACGCGAATCGATAAGCGCGTTTTGTGAAAAATCTGCGAAAGGTTTGCGGGGATCGAAAAGCTTGGTCCTCTTCGCCTCCCGACAATGTTCTTTGAAGTCTACGATCGCGGAAGATTTTCGAGTCGACCTGATCGCGAAGATCAAAAAAAAAAAAAAAGAAACGTACACTAAACGTTTCAAGGGAGAGAATTTCATTCACGGTGTTCCAATCCATTGCCCGTGCGAAACGATGTAAAATTTTCTCGGAACGAGCCAATCGCGCGCGTAATATTTGCGTCACTCGTGCACACCTGCTTCTGCCAAGGAAGTAGAGAGAGGGATCGATACACCCGGCGCCATATCCCGGGGATGGAAAATCCGCGGGAGGAGAAAAGTTCGGGAGGAGATCGAGAGAAGTCCTTTTTTTGAAAGAGGAAGCTGCGAGAGAGAGAGAGAGAGAGAGAGAGAGAGTCTCTCTCTTTGAAGTCGCGAGACTTGAGCCGAAGATTTTGGGATTCCGGCGGGAGAGTCGCGAAAAGAGCGAGAATTTCACTTACGTCGCCGATCTTCGCTTATCCCACGACCACGTAAAATTTTCGGAGGGAGGGAAGAACGCGGGGGAGCGTACATTACGAACTCTCTAACGTTGCCAGTCGCATATCCGAGACCAGGTGCGCCTCACCATCGGGGAACGATCGGGAACCGCTGTGCGCACTCCTCCCTTCCCCCTCCGCCCTCCCCCCCCCGGGGCCATTGCCTTTCAAGCCAGTCCTCACGTGCTGGCCCTTTTTCTTCGTTCCGCCACGACATATCGAGCACGATTTTTCAAGGCGACTCACGTCCTCCCAATGTGTGATACGCCTCTCAAGTGACACGAAGCCCGGGCGGGAAAGACACGCGAGAGAGAAAGAAAGAGAAAGAGGAAGAGAATAAGAGAGAAAAAGATTGTGCGTGCACGTATCTATATAGGCTCGAGTCGGAGAAAACGTCTATATATATATCAACGTTATTTTACTCTTGTGTTGTTGAGAAGAGAATATCTATCAAACTATTTTTTTTATCTGAGAAAATTTTCGCGCACACTTGAGTTTTTAAAAAAAAAAACAACTTCGAAATTTTTTAACATTAAAAATGTTCTAATATTAAACACAAAAAATTGAACTATATCATTTCGAAAGGCCGTTACGAGCCGCCGTAAACAAACGTTTTCCAAAATACAATTTTTTCATCCACCATTATTATTCAACAATCAAACTTTACGAAAAAAAACGTTTCGAAATGGAAACCATTTCTACGTTGCGGAAAATCTCTGACTGGAAGAAAATAAAATTGAAAAAAAAACAAAAAACAAAAAAAAAGCATATTTTCGAAGCGATACGTGTGTGCGTTTTGCGTGGAGTCATGTCAAAGCGGATATTGCTCGTGCAAGGTCGCTTCGTGTAATTCAAGCGACAATGCGCGATCTCTCCTTTCCGAGTCACACAGCGAACGCATATATAATAACTAGAGAAGCTTTTCTCGGTGCGCTCTTTTGTCAAGATCATTGTCGTTCGCGCAAGAGAGAGAGAGAGAGAGAGAAACGCGCGCGCTCGTTTTCAACAGATAACGTTCTCGTTGCGTCGACGTCTGCAGATAATCCCCCGTGTTGAATGTCCGTGTCATTCAACATGGAAAAACACGAAAAGCGTGTATATACCGCTCTCTCTTTCTCGTCCTCTTAAAGATTTTCTTTTCCTTCCGTATGTGTTTCGTTGCAGTAGCACTTTTACACTGGCTGTTGCCGCGGCGGTGTCGTGATACTCGCCCGTATAGGTATGTGTACACGTTTCTCTCACACAAAATCGAGCTCTCGTTTATTTGCGCGGACGAAGACGCAACAGGATGTGCGAGATTATCGCTCGCGATTTAACAGACAAATGCGTTTTTTCGCACTTGGTTGATAATCCGGCGGCGTGCGTGTGTATGTGTGTGTGAGTGTGTTGATAACAGTTAGCGTTTAAAAAACCAGCGGTTTTAATATGTATGCAAACGATTGCGCGATTTTTTTGCCGAGAGAGAGAGAGAGAAAGAGAGAGAGTGCTTTGCAGGTGCCGATACCGAGCGGCAGCTTTGTCATATCTACTCGCGATAATTGCATACGTTTTTCAGGTGCACGGCAATAACGGACGACGACGGTGATAAATCCATTTTTGCGACTATATATATATACATATACGTACATACATACGTACATACATACGTACGTACGGACGACGCTGCTGCTGCTGCACCAAGAGAGAGACCGGAACATATACATCAAAGTCTTTGATTTTCCGCAGCTGCCGAATCGGTCCGCGAAATCTGAATTTTTATATGCAGGCAAAAGTGAAAGAGGGTAAAATCACCCTGTCAAAGGCAAGCATATTCGTTCCAGCCAGGGACCGAGTGATTTATATTGAAATAACACCGTCAGGTAAACGAACAGATTGACGGATAAGCCGGCGCGCGTCGGTGTGTGTGTGTGCGCGCTCGCGCGCGCGCGGCGCCTCTGTGTGTGTGTGTTTCATCACCGAGGGATGTGTACGAAAGATATATCCTCACGTGGAGGAAAAAAAGTGGCTCAAGCCCCCGCTGCTGCGTTCGAGCCCGCCGGAATAGCTCTGCGGAATCGCCTTGGGAGGATCATCCTATTCGGAAGTCGGATAAAAATCCACGTCGTCTTTTGGATATTGCGCCGGAAGATGACCCCGGAGGAAGAGTTTCCCGGCGAGTTGGCACTGACAAGTTCGCAATTGCGAACCGGGGGACGGAAAATGGATTTATAGTAGATTCAAAGTGACGTGTTTACACACAGATACACGCAGCTTGATTCGCACCGCCGAAGAGAGAAGCTCAAAGCTCGAGCCGAGAGATTTCACGACCGAGAGTCGCCGCAACCTGCTCGACTCGCATTCGCACGTTGGAACATCGAGTAACTTTCGAAGAAAAATAATTCCTACAGAAATTTTTTTACTTACGTGACCGAAGTGATGATCAGTTTTTAAAAGGCGTATTAAAATTACTGTATGAACAGTGTTTTTTTATTCATTCAAAAATAAGTAAGCAATTAGCCGCACCGCGAATAGTAATAAATTTCCGCAAGGGATTCCTATTGCATGTAAATTTCTCTTTCTGCGAGAGCGCGCGAGAAGAGGGAGAGAGGGCGGAATGCGCACACGGACACGAATTGCCAGCGGACTGGCATGACTGCAGATACAACGTGGCCTGTTAGTTTAGCTCAGTTTAATTTAGTTTAGTTTAGTCAATAGTTCAGCGCCGTTATTGTACTCCGACGTGGCAGCGAAAGCCGAAGGATCACCGCCGCTACTACACATCACCACCACCACCATCACCACCACGACCACCACCACCGCCGCCGCTCTTCATTTGCATACCGGGGTGTGCCCCGCGTAAATACTCGACTCGGAAAAGTCTGCTTCTGGCACATCAAAGGGACGCGCGGCGCACAAAATTAATCCCCCGCGTTACTATCCCGCCCGCAAACAGAACCGACGAAATATCGGGCTTTGAACGCGCGCGCGCGCGCTGCGTCATTGTTGCGCACCGGAACGCAACTCAGCTTAGAGATAAAGACCGCGTCTTGACGCGAGATGGATAAAATGCGACTCTTCTGTCGGGGTCGTGAGTACTCTCTCTCTCTCTCTTTCTCTGTCTCTTAAAAGCGAGTCACTTAGGACGTAAACAAAGGATTCGAGAGAGGCAATAATAAAAACTTCGTCAAACAGCGAGATTGTGATCTTATAATTGCGGAATATCTCCATCAATTTTTTTCTATCAGTTACATACAAATGTTAAAACTACGGTAATGATATAAATTTTTTTTATTAATATAAACTTTTTACTGACATTTTTTTATCCTTACGTAGTTGTGTAAAGATAAAACAATGTGCGCGACGCGATAATTCAAAAATATATGTATTTAGCTTGCAAAGAAGTAACATAAAAAAAAAATAAGAAGTAACATAAAACAGTCAGTCTATCTAGTTGATGATTTGACATGTGTTTGTACATATACATATATATATAGTATATATATATATATATATATATACTATATTATATATATATATATATACACATATATATATATATATGCATAAATGCTGACATAAACACGTATATTGACATATTTCGATTGATAAAAATGTACGCATAGAAGTTAAATTGCTAGCCTCGCACGAGAAACAGGATAAAACTTGCAAAGTGATATAAAAACGGCAAGCTCTCTTATTGCTCTCATCAAAGAGAAAGAAAGTTAATTTATATAAACACAATTAAATTACCTCAATTCTTCAGAAAACTGCAAACCTTAAGAATTATGAAGTATCTTGTTAAAAGCGTTATAGGACGTTTCTAAATCAAATATCAATTGTCTGACTTGAGTCTCGGACAATTCGTCCGAAGCGGACATGTTGTCCAGAGTTTGCAGCCATTCCGCAACTTTAACTTTGCCGTCGAAATCGCTGGGTAATATACTCAGACGATTCATGGTGTCCATGAGATCTCGCAGATCCGGATGCAATTGATCCATAGCTTTGATCTCCAGCCGCAATTTATCCATAAGCGTGATGAACAGCGAAACAATGTCAGCAATGCACTTGGAAGTGTTGCCTTTGTCGTCTTTTATTGTGATCGGTCTGTCTTCCTTGATTCTCTCAAGAGCGGCCGGACAATCCAATCGGAACGCTCTGGTGAAGGAGTCAATTGTTGGAAACTGATCGCTCTGCACCTGTAACAAGATAAAAAAAATTATTATTATTGCTCTGTTCTTTGTGTTCAACATTGTCACAGGTGGTTCTATTGCAAACAAGAAACAAAATTTCTTCTTTTTCTGAAATACTCTCTCACCTGTTTGAACGCTGCCCTATATTGCACCAACAATTTACTGCACGCTGCCGTGTATTCCTTTGGCGTAACACAGTCTCTGATGTAGGCCTTTTCCAAATGTTGCAGAGTATTTACCACAGCATACAGATCCGCTTGATTGTCATGTTTCTCCCTCTCCCGAGCATTCTTGTACAATTTAACTTCTTCGTACAATTCGGGACGATCCTGAGCTATCGACATGACTCGAAACCTGTAGAAATCGTTTGACAAACGTGTTGCAAATTTGTTTTCTTTTAGAGGTTATGTCACGCGCATCGAAGCTATTTTGTAAGTTTTTTAAATCGTAAAAACTGATTCAAGAAGAAAAAAAGCAATGTTTGAAAACAGACCAAAATTCTGTTAAATTGTCACGCGACAATTCAACGACGCATCTGATCAATGTCAGGTAGTTTGCTGTTATCTCTCCAAGATACAAAAAGATTGCAATGTCGTGTCTTTTTATACTCACTTGTTTGTTCACTAGCAATATACCGATTGGCGACGTGAGTTATGTATTAGAATGTTAAAGACGATAACAAATTAAATATTTCAAAATTGAGAACGACGAGAGAAAAACTGACATTAAACTGGGAGAAAAACACTGAAAACACACTGACAGATCACGCAAACTTCAGAGCCATCTGCTGAAAAACAGTCAAACAATGACAAGTGTCTTCGTATGGTATTGTCGCAGTAACAAACACATAGACGCGCGTGTAATAAAAATGTCTATTCGCAAAATGTTAGACAATTATATTCATACAAATATTTTCTCTGCAACGAATAAAATCGCTTTTTTTTTATTTACAATTTATATAATCTAAATATATTCCAAATATAATTTGTAAATACATTTGTAAACGTTTGATCGGAATTGTACTGTTATTTTACAAAAACTTATAAAAAATAATATCACATATATGTGTAAATTGCATATCGCTGCAATTACATCACAATTATGTTAAACTAAAAAACAAAAACACTTTTAATAATTTCAAAATAAGAGTACGATTACAAAATCCTGATTAAAAATTTTAAACATCTTATAAGTTATAAATTAAAAAATACAAAATTACTTCTAACAAAATATATATATATATATATATATACAATTTATATATATATATATTATTTTACAAATATACAAAATCTATGTCACTAAAACTCAAATATCTTCTCCATCACGTCGGGTTTATCGTTACTAGGCTTTCTCGAACAAAACGGCAATTCCCTCTCCTCTTCTATACACGGACAGTTGAATTCTTTGACAATTCGTTTCGGGCGTTCGTGTGAATTGCTTCTGTTCGCAACATCAGGTACTACGTTGTCGTCACTTATGCTTATGTACGTTACTTCCAGAGTAAGATCGTTCCTATCTAAGATCGTCCAAGGTGGATAAAGATTTATCACAAATTCCGACATCATTTTCAACGTACCTACTATATCACAGACTAGCATAATTGTTATATTCTTGTACGGGGTTTGTTTCGATCGGATTTGAGTATTGTTCGAGTTTGTTTCCTCGATCTTCTCGTTGGTTTGCAGAAGATTGAAACGATCCTCGAGCAGAATACCGTCCAGAAACTGATTGCCGAACTGTTTTCTGCAACTACGCACAAACACGCTGACGAACTGCACGGCAGCGTCCTGGTTTTTACTCATTTGATGACGCCATATGCGAATGTCCGACACTTGCGCATTGACCAGAGACTGCAACCTTGAAACCATGCTCCCTCTGAAATAAAAATGCAACATATTACACGTCGTTCTTTTTTTTTAAAAAAAAAGAAAGAAAAAAACTTTTATCTGAATAATTTACTTTTTAGGCTTTTGACGTTTTTTCCCAGAATCCAAAAGATACGCGTACATGCTTTTGTCCGGTGACTTCTTTGACGGAGTAGTTATGCTGCTGATGTGATCGGTTTGAGTCAACTTGCTCCCAGTCTTCTGTGTAGCTCTGTTCATCGACGTCACCTGAGAAATCTGTGCGGACAGACGTGTGTTTTCCAGCATCATTTCAGCTTTGGAACAGTAAGTTTCATCGAGATCATTGGCAGTCAGTTGTGAGGACTGAATTACTTGCGTAGTTTTTTGAGTATTAACGTCTTCTATGAAATTACTGAGACTGTTGTTGCTATTGGTGTTTGAATCCGAAAGTTTATTGCACCCTTCATCTTCATCTCTGCTGTTCTCGCTTGGGCTTACTTCTATGTTTGGATTGCGTCTGTCGGTATTGCTGCTCGAACTGTCCTGTAAGTTCAATCTTTCTTCCGCAGAAGTGAATGTTCCCTGATATTTCTGACAGATCATTGGACTTGTTGTTACCTCACTTGCAACTCCAGCGTTCTCGCTCCCTTTCATCTCGTCAATTGCAGATACATCTCTTACGACGCAACAGTTGTTGTTAGCTTCTCTTTGTGGAATTGCGCTTGGATCGTCACGCTGCAATTTTCTTCGCTTCCTCTTGCGATGTTGGTGCGTGCCGAGAACGGGGGACAATTCATCATCAGTCGCCACGTTTTTCTCACAAGACGGTGTACGCTGAATCTCTTTCCGTTCGGTTTTGTTCTCCTCCTCTTTATTCTCGCAATCCGATTCAAAATTCATTGCGAAACGCTCTCCGGTCTCCCAACAATCTTGATTGTTCGTCTTTTTCACTGTAGCGTGTCTATTTATACGGATCTTTCCCTTGCGTCGTTTGCCGCTGCCACCGAGTATCGGTGACTTCGCGGAGACGACGCTAGTCGCCAACGTTCCCAGAACGGGAGACAACCGGGACGCATCTCCGCTGTTCTTCCGCATCGCGTCGTCCTCGGTATCCCCACCGTGAGTCTCGATCCATTTGCGCACATATTCCGTTTTTACGGTGCACGGTATGCGAGTCACGCTTTCGTCCACCACAACGACGCGATTGTGACATTGCTCCACAGTGTCGAGATCGAGGATCGATTGTCCGAAATTCAAACGTCTCACGTAGCTCGGCTTGTCGTTGAATGACGCATCTACGTGAGCATTAACTCCGCGGCTCGGTCCGGGGGAGTTCGACATTGAAAATAAATTCAATTACATACGTAAGAGCCGCGAGTGGAGATGCAAAACAGCTCCGCGCGTGTCGCACATTGCGGACGCACCGTTGCGGGCGCCGCCATTTTGCCGTTGCCAATGACAACCAAGTCCGTACGTTTGAACTGCTGCCCCCTGTGCCAAAAATTACGAACCTGCTTCCCACACACACGCGTTTTTGTTCGCCCGCGCATTTAAAGACACTCTTTCTTCAGATTTGACAATCAATTTTTTTTGCAAAAAATTTATAATTTAACTATAAATTAACTTTACAAAATTAATCGTGAGAGGATTGTTGGATGGGTTAACGTTTCGATTGATATTTTTTTTTTTTTAGATTTGCCGATCAAATCAGTTTTTGTTTAAAAGAGGGAACGAGAGAGAGATAAATGCTTGCTACTAGTATATATACTCTACACCGTGTGAAACATAATGCGTGAAATTGCACGCAAATATAAACAAACAAACGAGAAAACGTGTGCATCAGATATGTTTAACAAGTAAACAGCAATGGTTTTTTTTTTTTTTTTAATACCGAGATAATTTTTCCACTTCGTTTTTTTTCTTCCCGCGCCTTCGGTGATGTGCTTCGAACGCACACAAATGCGAGATTTAGTGTGATAATATCCCGTGCTATGCGGACCTGCCTCAATAGGCATCCGCTATAGCCCTGATTTGAGCACGCGGATGTGATACTTGGACCGACTATCTTACCCCGATACCAAGTGCTCTTATTCAAATGGAGCGACTAGGTGTTCCTTCCGACCCCGTTCGCACCACGAGTGTCGCAAACCCTTGCGACACTCTGTAAAGCGCTTTAAATCTCCGATATAAACATATTTCGGGGAAAAAAAAAAACGCTCGTTCTCTTACGAGATTGGCGAAAATTAATTTAGATTTTCTTTTCACAAGAGACAAGGAGACACAAGTAAGAGTCTTTTAAATATTTTTACGATATTATTATGCAATTAAATATAACATAATTACACGTATGCGTCATGTGTAATTAAATTAATTAATTAAATATGTAATTCTCTTCGCTTTTATCAAGAGAGTGATATCCGTTCCAAGTTTTCAGACAAAAAGATACAGTCTCTCTCTCTCTCTTTTAGATAAGTCTGACTTATCTCGGGAATAATTAAGAACGAGAACCGAAGAGCAAAAGAGATCGGTGTGAAAAAGACGATAAAGGGTTCTCGGACCGATCTGGAAATCTAACTATTGGCGAGAGAGAGCGCCAAGTTGCGCTCAGGCCGCGCGAGTTATACTGGATGACGAGTGCCGGGAGAAAAAACAAAGAGAGAGAAAGAGAGAGAGAGAAAGAGAAAGAGTGAGATCGAAAACCCCCTTTTATATATTAATAGTCGAGATAGCCTATGTGTCGCGTTACCGAGAGGGCCATCTCGGTTAGGACGGCCGCTAAGGGGGGAAGAGCGGTGGATCCCGGAGGATCGTTGCTGGGAAGTGGAAGGGGGCAAGAAGGGGGATTTATCCGCGCGAGAGAGCGAGAGAGGGCTCTCGATAGGAGACTTTGTACTCGTCCGATCGAGGAAGATCGAGCGATCAGATCAGCGGGACAGCACAGGGGGGGAATCCGAGGGGGAGGGGGCCTCGAAATGATAGATACGAGGACGGGATAACGCGGCGGACCCCTTGTGTCCACACGGTAGCCTCAGTTCCAGTTCGCGATGGAGGCTACTTGCTCCTTTTGACAGTACAGACAGCGGGTGACTCTTATTACTTATTAGGGGAAAGAGAAACAAAGATACACAACACACGTCAGATTTTACTGGTGATTTTTCGACAAAGTGAAAGCACAAAAAAAAAAAATCCCCCGCAAAAAGAGAAAAGAGTAGATATATAGATCTAAAAACAACACGACGAAAAAATATTTCAAAAAGACCAGCTGAAACATAAGTAGGAAGGAAAAAACATCAGAAACATAAGAAAAAAAACCGATCTGTCGAAGGGGTTGCGGGAGATCTAGGATCGCGACGAAGCCGATCTCTCTCGTCTTGTGTGAATCACCTTTCTCTTCCCGCTTTGGTCTTGCGCGCGCGGAGATGATGAGGACTCGCGGTGGCAGCTCGGAACTAGCAACAACACCATGAAAAACAACGATTACTTTCATTCGAGGCGCATATCGCGTTATTATATACACGTCGTGATGGCAGAACGGAGGTGACCGGATGCCGAGCGGTGCAGTGATTCGATTGATTCGCTGAAGAGTGTTCGTAGCTTCCACCGAACTTCCGAGTGCCCGTATTAAGTGCGCGTACGTGTGTGGTGTGCGTGCGTGCGTGTGCGTGCGTGGCTATCTCGCGAATTGCCCGAGCGGGCCCCGGTGCCTGTATCGGAACTACCGCGCGACACAAGTGACGCGCACCTTCGGCCGCTCTTGCGGGTGGTTTATTTATCGGCTCGCGAAGAAAAGCGGGTCTCTCTTTTATACTGTGTGGCTGTGTGGTGCGGCGGCGGTTCACCGAGGTGGTCCACCCAAGAGAGAGCACTGGTCGTTATCGTCGTCATCAGTCCCATCTACGCGCTGTCGCATTTCAATCAGCGCGCAAAGGGGGAAACGGTCGCGCCGGACGCGCGCACCTCATCGGACTTTCTTCGATTCTTCGCTATAGGAAATCGCAAATTCTCGCATAATTCGCATCGCAATCGATTTGTTTCCGCCGAATCGATCATCTCATTCTGGGTTTGTAACAAAAGAACAATTTTTTTTTTCACGTTTTTTTTTCTTTGTTTTGAATTTAAAACGGAGAAGAAATTTTTGTCGGGAACGTTTATTATTGTTTCGTTCAGTTTTCCTCGCGCATCTTCATGACTGAAACATAACGCGAGATACTTGCGTATGCATCGAGTTGATGCGAAAGTTTTTGATCGTCGCTCTTGTTACGTCAAAGAAAACGTTCAAAAGTTTGGCGAACAAAGACGTAAATCTTTTGTGTGAGAAAGATTTTAAATTGGTAAAAAAAAAATGAGAAAAATCGCGGCTGTACGCGCGAAATCGTAGATACTTTTTTTCGTCGCTCGAAATCGAGAGATCACGTGACGACAAAAATTGTGTGAAAAAAAAATTGCAAAGAGAAAAAGCTCGAAATGTTGTGAACCTCGAAAAAGAATGAAGATGTGTCGCTTTTATGCGAATGAAGTTTTTCGTCTCGGGGGGGGAGGGGGGAACGGCGCGAAAATCTAAGAAGAATCGCGTGGGCGCGCGGATTAACGTGTACATCGCGGGTATGCGTATATGAGAGAACGGCAGATATGTCGGCGACGCGACGAGTGTGAGAGCGCGCGCTTTCAAAGAAGAAAGAGAGGGATGGAGAGCAGAATGCGAAGGCGTGCGAAGCGGAATGACATTGTTTGCACCCGTGACGTCACTCGTAATTGTAATGAACAATGAGAGGCGCGAGTGTGCACGCGCGCTCTCTCTCTCTCTCTCTTCCTCTCTCTCTCTCTCTCTCTCTCTCTTTCTCTCTCTCTCTGTCTCTCTTTCGCGAGCCGCATGTGCCACCGAGGTCTAGGGTTACCTGACGTCAGTGGGTATAGGCTGGCAAATAGAAAAAGCGTCATGGCGCTGGTCAACCTCGTGTGAGTGCGGGTCGTAATAATTAGTTCTTTAATTATAGAAGTCGCCTCGAGAAATCGATTAGAATTAAAATAAACTTATCTGATTAGAGAATTTACAAAATATATATGCATTATTTTAACATTTTCTTTCTCTTTGTAAAGAATTTTTTTAAATAATAAATAAATGTTTTTAAATAGTTTTTTAATAAAATAATATTTAAAAAGTTTGAAAATTAAAGTAACATTAAATTTAGAGAAGAAACGTTGAATTGTTTTATTGACGAGGATGAGCTCGCCGGTGTAAATGTCAAAAAAAAAAAAAAAGCATCACACACGCTTTGACGTTTCTCTTTTTGCAAAATTACTTTGCGATAATGTGAAACATTACGACGGTGAATTATGACACAGTTCGTATATAATGTAATTAACCAAGTTTGACATGTGTGTCAATAATACGTCACAAATCTCGACGCAAAGTTTACACAAATACGAGGCGCTTTGTTCCGCGAAAAATGCATTGTCAGATTGCACGAGTGTTAATTCTGAGCTTCCGAGCGTGTCAGCATTTTAAATCGTCAAAAGTTCCGCGAGCTGTTTACGCACGATCACGCCGCAAAAACGTAACAAAAAAAAATGCTGATAGGTTCTTTCCATTGAGACGGTAAAAAAAAAAAAACAGTCAAAGCTGCTCCACCGAAATCAAAATTGTCTTTTTTAACAAAAAAAAAAAAAAAAAACAGCGGAAAGAGAAAAATGATTCGAAATGATGGACAACTTCGCTCGATTGCTCCGACTATCGACGATTTCGTGACGATATCAATTTATCAACAAGCACGTGGGCACGTCGTTAAATGATCCCGGGTCTGTGTGTTACAACTCTCGCATGATCATTCGTCATTTCGTGTTATGTTTTGCGGTCTCGTAAAACGGTAACTTCAAATCATCTCTCGTATGAGAGATATTTTCAAACGGAGAAATAAAAATAACGATGAGCGTGAGAAAATTGCTTTGTGTGTTTACGGAAAAACAAGACAATGACATAATTGCCTCGTTTTAATCGCGCCGAACGATCGTGAACGATGTTCTTGAGAAAAACGACGAAATGCTACCGCTTTATTCGTCTTTATTTATCTTAGTCCGCATCTCGGACAACGTAGATGCGAATCATTACGTGTCGTCATCGTCGTCCTTGTTTGTAACGGAGACGCATTTGTTGCAACAACACGTTTTCTTTTCCGATATTCGCTGCGCAAACGTTTGACATTTTTCACTTTCTAAAGAACCGCACCCTGACTCGCGTATAGAAAAGTAATAAGTTCAAGGCAGTCCGGTAGGTGTAGTCTCATATTTTTTTTTTTTTTTTTTTTTCTATCTTAATCACTTTGCCGACCAGTCACGATTTAACACATAATGAAAAAACGACGGATACAACAATTTGTCGGAAAGCGCGAAATTTGTCGTCTCCTGACGTCTTGCTATCACAACATCCGCGTTTATTTTTTATCTGCGCTCGCACGCTTCCATGGTTTTTCCGGCGCGCGCATACGCCGTTGCGCATTTTGCGCGTGCTCCATCGAGACGCGCGCGACGGTCAAGAGATTCGCGGAGAGAAATCGCACGACGAAAGATAAATCCGAAGATCGAAGCTCCGAGGATCAATCGACGTTACACGCACGCCAAGTGAAATGCTTTTATATATATATATATATATATATATATATGTTCATTTTATATATATGTGTATATATATATATATACATATAGCTTGCGTTTGTATTCTACAAATTTCAAAAGTATTCAACTAACAGCTTCGGCGCGAAATATATTTGTTTCATATGAAAAAAAAAAAAACCATATATCACGCGGAACTCGAACGGTTTTTGTTGCGTTGAAACGTCCGAATGAATACGTCGCGTATTAGAATTCGAAGTGGGTTTTACAACATCGTGCGGGTTCAAAAGGGTGAAAATAGTAGAGCTCTTACTTTAAAAATAAGAACGAAACTCTATGTGTGTGAGCGGAGAGATTGAAAAGAAGACTTAAGAGTATATCTCTTCTCAACGTTCTCACATGCAAATGCGCGAGAGAGAATACGGGGAATACATAAAGGAACATATACATAAACATGTACAATATTGTGTAATTCCGCTTGAGAGAATTCAGGCCAGAGCGTCGGAGCACAAATAAATTTCGTAAGCTAAAAATTACTACATCGTTAAAAAAAAAACGATTTCTTCATAGGTCGCAGAGAGATTTGTAAGAGATGTTGTCAATAAGTCGTTTTTTTTTTCTTTCTCCGCAACATGAGAAACAGAAACGGGAGTTGTTGTTTTTCTTGTTTTCTTCTCGCTCTCTGTTGAGAGCGAACGATATCTCGCGTATCGCGCCGTCTTTGCGTCGTTGTAATCGGTGTGTAATTTTGTTTTATATAATTTATGATTTTTTTTCAACTCGAGATTATTATTTTCATCGCGTTCCGCGTGTTCCTCTCTTCTCGGTGGTTTTCCCCCCCGGAGAAATGACCCCTACGTCATAGAGTCCGCCGTTATCTCTGCGCGGGCGTTCTCGCGCGTTGATCACGCGCGATCGCGTATATATACGCGACGCACACGTATATACGCGCGGAAACTAGCGCGAATAGCGGAGGCAGTTTAGACGATAGCGTGAGCTATGAAGGGAATTTCGTTTGCAGATAGAAAGAGAAGCGACGAGAAGGAGGCGGACGACACGCACGACGAGCAAGCGGCGACGAGACAGACGGTCTCACAACGAGAGACAACGAGCGCGCTCTTGGCCGGGAAAGCAAACGCGCGTTTTCCGCGGATCGGTCGCCGTGGAAGAAGAGAAAATCACACACACACACACACACGCCGTTCTCTCCGACGAAGATGATGTTCGCTCGGACTCGGACGACGAGAGGAGGTCTCCTACGGCAATGGCTGATCGTCGTACTGGCCCCGCAATGACGTGCGAGCCGCTCTATCGCGAGGACAGTGTCCGCGTCAGTCGCCGAGATCTACGCGCTCCGTAGATTCGCGATCGTGACGTGCGGTGGGCAGCAGACGTGGAAAAAAAAAAAAGAAGAAAAAAAAAAGAAAAAGAACACGCGCGCGCGTATATATATACGTGGAGAAACGGGGGTCTCCCGAGCCGCGAAACGGAGGAAAACTCGCCGCGCGCGAGTGAGTTCGGAGCGAGCTAGCGCGCTCTCGAGAAGTGTTTTTCGCTCCCGGAACGACGAGACGCGAAGAAGAAACGTCGGAGAGAGAGAGAGAGAGAAGAAGGAAGAGACGAATGATTGATTTTCGCGAGCGATTACTACGAGCGAGGGTTGAAAACGAAACGGATCGCGAAACGATTCTCTCTTTTCCGATCGAACGAATTGAAATTTCGAAGTTTCGCGCGCGGTCGGAGAGACGAGATTTGAGATCGGCGAAAACGCTCAAACGCACAACGCCGTCGATGGCGTTTGAATTTCCTCGCTTTACCGCGAAAACGTGGTGAGGAGGGTTTTTTTTTCTTTTTTCCAAGTGCTCGAGAGAGAGAATATTGAGATAGGGAAGAGGAGCGCGGAGGAGGACTCGAGTCGCGACTTCTCTTCTCTCTTTCTCGAGAGATAGATAATCGGGCAGTGAAGTGAAAGTGAAGAGAGCGGCTCTGTGTCGCGCGCGCGTAAGTGAAAAAGGACCGTGTTGGTCAGACTGCCCGTCTCTCTTCCCCCCCCCCTCCCTCTCCCGGGGCAATCAGTGGCTATCACTCTTCTTCCTGTTGCCGTCTTTTCTTATCTCTCTGAATCTTCGCGGGTTGTAGAACGCGCGATGTATCTCGGAAGATAAATGTCGCGAGAGATTAAATCGAATCGAGTGTTTTCGACGCGAAGTTTTGAACTTCCGCGCGAGATGTGAGATCCTAGCCGATGTGTGTGTGCGTGTGTTGTTGTTGTTGTTGTTGTTGATCTTAACCTCTGACAAGAATATGAGACGTGAAACGACGGCTCCTCGTCGTCACAGCCAGATGCGCGACGCGTCGGCGTTTCGGTTTCGCGCATCTCGTCGAATTTAAATTTTCCGGCGTGATCTTGCGGCGCGACAACCTGGTGGGTTCCGAAGATCGGCGCGTCACGTGACCGGATTCGCGCGTTGTAGCCCCCCCCCATCCCCCGAATTGCCGACAAAGCCCCTTGTGTGTGCAGCTTTCGAAGAAGTCTCTGATTCGAGAGCACACCGGAGAGAGAGAGAGAGAGAGAGAGAGGTGAGCGTCGGAAAGGAGAACGCGAAAGAGAAGAAGGGACGGAGACGCGAGGGGGAGTAGCGAGAACGGAGGGAGAGAGCAGGCGAGGAAGAAGAAGAAGACGAAGAAGAAGGGAGGTGTGTGTGTGTGTGTGTGTAAGAGCTTCCTCCCCGCGAGACGCGCGGTCTCGAAGGGGGCGAGAAAACGTTTTGTATTATAATTCGGCGTGGCTACCTTCGAGGATGAGCGACGGCGGTCATGCCGTGTAATTCGAAGGTGTACCACGTCACCGTCGCATCGTGCACGATCGTCGCCGTTCTCGTCACGGCATCGCCAGCAAGATGAGCTCGATCGACTTCGACGAGGTGCTGGTACACGTGGGCGAGAAGGGCCGATACCAGAACATCATGTACTACTTGCTGTGCATACCCGCCACTCTGCCGGCCGCCTTCTTGGCGTTCTCGCAAGTAAGCAAACACGGTGGTCGCGTTGCGCACGTGTGAAAGTTATTTTTTTTTTTTTTTTGTCTTTCTCTATCGCCGCGATTTTTCTTTTTCTTTTTTTTTTTTTTATCAATCTTAACCGACACAGTCCGCGATTTCTTTCTAAAACAGGTGTTCGTGAGCGCATCGCCGGAACACTGGTGCAGGATACCCGAGCTGGATAATCTGACGGATCTGATGTCGCTGGAGGAGAGAAAAGCGCTCTCGCTGCCCTACGAAAAGAAGCCTGACGGCAGGAGGATCTACTCAAAGTGTGAGATGTACGACGTTAATTACACGGAGATAATCGAGGAGTGGCTGCGACGCGCCAGTCAGTACAACGTAACCGACGACGACGTCGATCCGTCGACGATCGCGTCCACGTCGTTTTATCCACCGCCGAGAAAACTGCCGTCGCCACCAGTCAGCAACCCCGACTGGCCGGTCATCGACTGCCAATACGGATGGAACTACGACAACAGAGATTACGACAGCACCCTCGTGACCGAGGTAAACTCGACTTTCTCTCTTTTTCTCGCCGAAATAAAGGGTTCGTTCATCTGATTGCTGTTGTACCTGGTAATTAGGAATTTTTAGACACTCGCGAGACATCGCGGCGCGCTTCTGAGAACAAATTTTATACACGCGCGAGCTCTGATTTTTTTCAATCACATTCGGTTGGAAAGCACTCGCAAAACATAATCTTGTAAAAAATATTCAAAATCAATCAACATTTGATAAGTTAAAGTTTATAAAAGAGATAAAAATAATATGAAAAAAAAAAAATAATTCAAAAGTTAATTAGCGGAAAACGAAAAAAACTTTGAGATTTTATTTCTCTCACGTGTGGTTTTTCCCGCTCTTATCGCCTAATTGTTTTAGGTTTCTAAATTTAACATTACGAGCAACATTAGATATTTTTTAATTTATTTTTAAGTGTAAAATAAATTCTTGTTTTTCTCTCTGTTATATATTTTACGATTTTTTAACATTGTCGTTACGCAAATGCACGCAATTTGTTGCGGTGACACGAAATTACGAGCGAAGTCATTTTTACGAGCAATCAAAACAATGCAGAACTAATATTCTAACTGAAAAACAACGTTGTTGTTAGGACGCTACGTAATAAAAAAACATACCTATAACGACATACTAATGACTCGAAGCGCTGATAAAGTCACACACACACGCGCGGCATACACACATCTCTCTCGCGTAAAAATAAAATACAAGTTAAATACTCAAAAAAAAACATTAATTTGTTTGCATAACAATCTATAAGTTAAATGTTTGTTGTGGCGGTGCTCAATGAGACGAATCCAATTTATTTTGAAATCAATTCGCCGATGAAACCAAAAAAAAAAAACGTTTACTACAATAACAAAATAAAATCACGCGCTTTTCGATCTTGTCGCGCGAGCGGATTTTTAGCGGTGCCTTAGAAACGCGTGCGAGCGCGAAGGAGGCACGCTTCGACAATTCGCTTTATTACGACGGTCTTCTAACCGCGGCCGGCAAATTTCTTCATCTCGCAGCATCGGATTTCACGACCCACATCGCCTTGGCCTTTAAATTCACACAGTGTTCCAACGATTGTTATTGCAGCGCGCATGCAATATAACGCGCGCGTACTGCTCGCGCGTTGTGCTGCCGCGCGTTGCTGTTCCCCGTTCGCGGAAAAAACGAACGTTAAAACCAACGCGTCGTAACACGTTAATAATCTCGCAAACGAAAAATTCACGACGATGAGTTTTATCTCGCGTTTTTCCAGTGAAGTATTTGCCAGCGATGACGCGAGGAGAGAGACCGACTTGATTGACTCGAACGGATTAAAACGGCGGTACGCGGCGGATTGCGGCTGATTAAGCGCGCGTGTCGCGAAACGAAACGGCGAGAAACGAAACGTAATTCGCGATTTTTCCCCGTATTTTCCCGGAATGGAAAAGACGAAGTCTTTTGATTTTTCAATGTGTCATCGAGAAGAAAGATATGTGTGTGTTGTATGTCGATCGCGATGACGCGCGGAAGCGAATTTTCCAACGTTGCGCGAGGTCAAGAAGTCGGGGGGGAAAATTATTATCTTCAACCGCGCAGCTGCATTTCTGAAATGATTCGTCACATCCTCTCTTGTACGCGACTTGTACGGCCAGTCACCTCGAAGTTACTTTTGACGAAGATTAAAACTAAGAAAGGAGCTTTTCTCTCATTTAGAACAAAAAGATGATATAAGAACGAAAATAAATTTATCGCACACACAACTGTGCGAGTTCACAAACTCCCCGCGCCGCGCTCCAATTCTTACGTAAGAAAGGCCGCGTCGCACTTTTTTACACGGACACACATTTGCATTACGTATATGTAAATTTGTATCTATTTTCGAACTTTTGTTGTTGTATATATAATTTACAATTTTATATACATTTCGCTGCCGAAGGCATAATATTAAAAAAAATGTGCCGCTCCGCGCGACACGTACGCGTTCGCTTAATTCGCCAAGTCAACACGTGTATCACGTTTCCGTGAGAAATTTTTTCACGCCGTCATTCAAATGTCGAAGAAAAACAAGCGAACGAGATGGTTAAGAGCCTCGCTCGCTCACGTGGCAGTGTGCAAGTGTTCATTAAGACATTTATTAAATTGCCGCAATTAGACAACGCGATAAGCCGTAACAAAGATCCGCGATGCAACGGGGTCGAGGATCTTTGCGCGTACACGTTTTTCCTCGTTTTCTTCCTCCGCTTTGTTACTCTATGCAACAAAGTAAATTGTACGGTTTGTAATATAATCAGCATAAAATATCATTCTTCTATAGACACTTTGGCGGGAGTTGATCTCCACGCCAAACAGATTCACGCCGTGGAACGCGTGAAGAGCGTAATACTTTCTTAAAAACAAAATTTATATTCGCGTGTAAAAAAAAAAAAAAAAAAACAAAATGATAAAAATTTATCACGTCATCTAATTGCGAGTATCAACACCTGTAAATATTTATTCGAAAATTTCGCATCTGATACTTATAAATCTCTCTCTCTCTCTCTTTCTCTCTCTCTCTCTCTCTCGAGATGCTCCAAAATATCTGATAAGCGCGATCGCTAAGCCCGTCTCTCTCGATGTTTGTTTTTTTTTCTTCACGCTTCGTGTTTTGCGCGCTCTGATCTGAGATTTTACATAAATTACAACCACGTTTTTTTTTCTATTTCCGTACTTTTCCCGGTTCAAATCCTCAACGATTAATTAAAACGCAAACATTTGCTCTCAAAGACGCGAAATAATAACGCGCGAGTAATACGAAAATTCGCGAAGATTCGTCAGCTTTATTAAACGAACGATTCATCGCGCGTTCATTCCGCGAAATTGCGAAATTGATAATGATTTTCGCGCAATGACGCGACAAAAATTTCTTGGAGATTTCGCGGATCGAATTCGCGATAGGATAGGATAGAATAGAGGTTCCCAGAATGAAGAGAATCGTCAACAGGTGAACAAGGTTGATGAGCGACCGAGTGACTGGCCGATAGGTTGCAGCCTCTGGTGGCGTCAGCAATTGCCGACCAATTTACCTACCCCCGCATCCGGTCATGTGATATGTCACATCAAACGCCTCGCACAAACTATCAGCTCTCTTCATGCAGAGGGTATATGTTCTCCTACGTACTTAGCCGGATTCATTGTGCCGGATTCAACGTGACAATAGCTTCCGTTTTTCCATCTCCCTTTCTCTCCCGTTCTTCTTTCCCTTCTTTCCTCGCAATTTTTTTTTCTTTTTTTTTTGCCAAGTCCAACTTATCCTCGCCGCGCCCCTGTTTTTCGCGTGTCCTTCTTGAATTCGTTTCTGTCGAAACGTCGTTTGCACAATCGAAACAAAATAGCGGCGCAAACGTGCAAAAGTGTCATTCGAATTGAAATCTTCTTATCGCCGCGCGATAAAAGCTTCGTTTTTTTTCTACGATTTAATCGATTTTTCCGCGTTTCGTCGAAAAACTCATTCAGAGGTTTCACTTTTTTTTTTCAAGACACTTGTACAGTTTCGAAAAAAAATATTCTTTCGCATGCGGCCGTCTGTCGCGCGGACATGACGGCCGGTTAGCGTGCGTGCGTGAGCGCGTTGCGTGTGTGACCGCGCACTTGTATAGGACTTTACTTCCGATCCGATGATTTATCGTGCTCGATTTAGGAGCTTCGCTCTAAACGAGACAGCAGGCCGCACGAGACCGCGGAGAACGGGTCATTGTCTTTTCCGTGTCGACATGTGACAGCAAGCAGCCTCGCCAAAGACGAATCACATCACTTCCTGCGTGTGCGATCGCGTCCCGGATCTAATTCACACAAATCGAGTCAAGAATAATAATTCACATCTATATGTTGTATGTTTGTTTGCGCAAACTTGGTCGATCGACAGCTCGAGATTTCACACACACACACACACACACACTCAAATACAGAGAATTAATTCAATTCGTTTGCGTCGCTTTTGAACGTCCACCTCTAACCCGGGGACCGTAGGCTCTTTGGTTTTTTTTTCCTTCTTAATAATTTTTGTTTGTTCGAGTCTGTGTGCTATATAATATTAATTAGAATTAATTTATTAATTATAAAGGCTCGCGAAATGTGACGAAATGACGGACAAATCCGATTTCCGAGTCATTTATTCTTGACGATAATTCTCGCGTGTAAAACAAACGATGGAAATTCCTAACATCCGAACAGATTTTCCGCGATTTGTCACTGCGCAAACAAATATCTCGTAACGTTTTTTTTTTTTATTTCAGCTCGGATCTGTTTTCTTGAGACGCCGACGCGCAATCCGTCGCGAGAGAATCATCGAGTTTTAATGAATTGCGAATACGCGCGAGCACGTGATAGATAGCGCGAGCTCGGTGAAAAATCGCTGACTTTAGATCGCGCGCGATCATTCTCAAATTAAATAAAAAAATCCCGGCTCTTTTCTCTTTCGTTCGTCGGATAATAATTACAAACCAAAACAAAAAAAAAAAGAGCGGGAAAGATTCGTTTAACTTTGAAAAATAATGAACAACGGGAGAGATGAGTAACGAGCGAACGTTAAGAGCGCGGTAGAAAGCGGGCACGGAGAGCGATGAGGAACGAAAAACGGAAGGACAGGGATTTGCCTCGATGGCTCTCTTTAACGTCACCGTGTCTCTCTCTCTGCGTAAATCCGGAGCGTGTAAAATACGCAGCTCGTATAACCCGCAAGCGCGCGCATAGACGAAAGCCGTTGCGCCAGTTCTGGATGAATATCGCGTGGCTGAACGCGAGGAGAGGAAACCCGAGCGAGTTAAATTTCGATTGACCAATCCGCGATTGAGAAAGAGTTAATTTTGCGTCCTTTCCCCTTTCGATTTCTTTCCTTCGAATTGACAATCGGAAAAAAAAACAATCGACGACCGATTCGCGCACGTACGGGAAGTGTTGTCGCATCTTTTTTTTTTTTTTTTTGTTTTACACACGTTCGTCATCTCGTGAACGCGGCTATACTATCGCGCGTTATTAGATTCTACTAAAAATAGAATCGTAAAACGAGAGACGTAAGTCGGATTCTATATCGATGATAAAATTCGAATTCGACGCGCAACGCGCGCCGCATAAACAATCGGCGGTAATGAACACCACCGCGGCCGCGGTCATATCAATATTCTGATTTCGAAGTATGTATGTCAGGGTGACAAAATACAACACACGTGTGTGTTATTATATTGGTTGTCCTTACGGAGCGGGGCCGGCCTTGACAATATAACTCGACCGCGAATCCATCAGTCGCGCGGGTGCGTATCTTCTCTCTCTCTCTCTTCTGTCTTTCCGCGCAATTTATCTTTTGCGTATTTCGCGCAGATATCGCAAAAAGGTCCGTGAGTGGCAATTTGCTTAAATCAAACTTCGTGTCACCAGCCATTAACACCCGACGGGAGAACCTTATTTGTCGAGGCTTAATAGGCACTCGATTGAGGTTTCGTATGATGTGTGTTCATCGACGCGCGCGGATTATCGAGCGCGCTCGACCAACACTTTGTTGCCTTTGTTAATAATAACGTCTTAATTGCGTCTTCGTGTCGGCGCGTGTCGAAGAGAGATAGAAAGAGAGAGAGAGAGATTCCCGCGAGGTGTCCGGATCTCGTGACTTCTTCTTGTGAAACTTTTACCGACGAGAAATTTTTCGCGAAGAAAAAACATTGTTTGGTGAAAGCTTCGATTTCAGAGTCCGTTTCCGTTTGCTCGTCTCTCTCCGAGAGATTTTCTCGTGTCACACCGAACATTTTTATTCAATAATATGTTACTGTAAAATTAATCATTTCTTAGATCCGGGTTTCTCTCCTTTAAGTTAAATATTCTAGAAAAAGAATTTAATTCAAATAAAAAAAAAAAATTGTGGAATATTGAATTCTGTGGTTTTTTACAAATTTTGTGAAAAATCTAAATTCTTAAAAAAATATATTATTTAAAATGCAAACGTGTGTTTGTTGTCGTTATTTATGAGCAAACAAACGTTGTTTCGCTTTGCAAAGTTGTCCGCGCGCAAAGTTTCGTTCGCGCGCGTAGGAGAGGAACGAGAAAGAGAGACAGAGGATTTATTTTAAGGGGCGTAAGGGAAGAGGAGAGAGAGAGAGAGTGTCTGTGTGTTCCTCCTGTCAAACGAGGGTGATGGACACCTCTGGCTGTGGGAAGCTCTCCACCAATACACCTTGGCGTCCTTCGGATGTGCGTGCACGAACACGGCATTCACGCATACGCGTTTTCTCTCTCTCTCTCGTACGTAGAGCGCGTGCAATTACATACGAAGCCCGCGTGCGTACACACGTTATTATACGTAGCCCCTCCCTCTTTTCCCTTCCACTCGCGATAAACACGAGCGGCGGTTTACGTCGGTAGCCTCCGCGTAAACGCAACTAGATGAAACGAACCCTACCACCGTGTGCAGCTTCTGCCGGACCAGCAGCACCACACACCATCCTCCCTTCTCTGCGCCCCCCCCCCCACCCTCCCGCCCCCCGTTACACTACCGTTTCTGTTGTTCAACGCGCGCGCGAACGCACGCGCTCGAATGTGTCGCGCCCAATGCGACCGACGAACAAATGACGATCGTGATCCGACGCGTGTGTTCACACGTGTGCGAGCACGCACTCCGGTTTGTCGTCAATACCGCCGCGTGTACATACATATAATACACCACCGCTCAAAACTATTTGTTCACGTGTGTGCCATATAGCCACAAAACCGTGCGGAAGACACTTTCAAAAATCGAAAGAGAAAAAAACATTTTGCTCGCGTATAAGGCAAATAAATTATTACAGCTAAAAAATTGTTATGTCAGAAATGTTTAAACTTTACAAAAAAAAAAAAAAATTACTTTTGAAAATCTTTTTTTTTTTAGAGAAAGGAGAAAAAAAGATCTATTCTTGTATCGTCTTTCTCGAAACAAAAAATCAATTTTCATCGGAAACACTTTCTCTCGCTCGAGTGACGACATTTGGGAATAAGCGCGCGCGCTGCCTGTTTCAAATAACGACGAGCGGTATCGCAGTTTTGTCCGACGAGAAGTCATTGCTCCGATAAACCCGCTATCGCGCGCTTCTGTAACAACAGAGTGCGGAAATAAGTCGCACAAGAAAAGATTAAGATAAGACTATTTTATTCTCTCGTAGATATTTATTGATCGATTTTGTTGTTGTTGTTGTTGTTGTTTATCTGTGCAAATTTTGTTTCGAGACAACGCGTCGATGAAACTTTACGAACCGTGTGTTCACACACAATCGCCGATTAGTCCTCTCTCGCCGACTATCTCGGATTATTCTCACGACGGTCGTTAATTAAATTGCATATCTCGTTTCCACATGTGTGCCTGTACGTGTTGGAAGCGCGATAGCGGTTCGATCGGAGCAATGACTTCGTCGGGCAAACCGATAGCAATTATTACCGCTCGCTGTCTGAAATAGCAGCCGCGCTATTCGCTACTGTCGCTACTTGCGTTGAGAAACTTTTCCACTTCATCGCTCGAATTGATTGTCAGGTTGTTTGTTAGAAATGTTTCTTGTGGTTTTGTTTTTTTATTGTTTTTTGTTAGTTTTTTTTTTATTTTTTTAAATATCAACAATCCACACTGGCGAAGTAGTTTAATGGCGTTTTACATCCACATAGCTAGACCTGGTATGTGCCAACAGCTGGTGGCCTTCCACGTCAACTACGTTTTTTTACGTGGGCAGCCTCTTCGGCAACGTCGTGTTCGGGTGGATCGCCGACAAGTGGGGCAGAAGAACGGCCTTCTTCGCCATCCTGTTCCTCGAGGTGATATTCTCGATCGCCACGAGCTTCAGTCCGAACTACGTAATCTACACGGCGCTGAGGACCGTGAACGGTCTCTTTTTTCCTGCCATTTATCAAATACCTTTCATACTCGGTACGTAGATCTAGTCTCGAGCAGACAATTTTTATCTAGCAAGAGAAAATATATTCAAAAAAAAAATATATATACATATATATTTGAGATAGAGAAATTTTCGAAAGATATAAAAAAACCAAAAATATATAAACACCAACTGAACAAATTAGAAGAAAAAATTAGAGAATAAACACGATGAAAAATTTAAAAAAGAACGAGCAAAAAGCTTGATATTAATTAGAATATACAATTGACTCAAAATGTATTTTTTATAAAAATAATTTCGTTTGCAGCTCTCGAGCTAATGGGGCCGAGATATCGAACGTTCGCCGGGATGGTGATCTGTATGTTTTTCGCCACGGCAATGTCTCTCCTGGCGCTGCTGGTAAGTTGACCTCGTTCGCACAAAGCACGGGCAAAAAAAAAAAGAAAAAAAAAAAACAAAACGCGCGCACGTATACATATTTCAACGTTGCGAAACATCTTAACAAGAATTGCCGTTCACCTATCGCGCGCTGGCCGGCGCGTTAGAAGTACAGTATCTCGCGAGAGAGAAGGCGGCTCCGCGCGAATCTCTCTCGGCACCACACACACTCGGCAAATTCACAATGCGCGAGGGGTGCAATGCGAATGGATCACTTTACGAGCGAGAAATCATGAGCGTGTATCGCGCGCGCATACGGATGGTGCGAACCGTATGCAAATGCGAGTGGTCGATCACGTTCGTTCGCCGCACGTATGCAAATAGAAACAATTCTGCATTCGGCGTTCGAAGCGCGGACCGCGCGTGTAGAAGTGTGTAAATATAACGGGGGCCGACTAATCGTCACTTTCAACTCGCGCTTCGACAAAAACCTCGAGATAATTATATTTTGCACCAAAAAAAAAAAATCATGATAACACACACACACACATATTACGACGAAAAAAAGACCGAAGACAATTAGCGCGAGTAAAATTTTAATTACGTAAAAATTACTTCTAAATTTTCGTTCCAACACGTTTTTTGTTTTACCTACTTTCTTTTGTCAGGGTTATTTGTTAAGGCACTGGTACACCCTGTCGCTGGCCACGTCGGTGCCTTTCGTCGTTCTCTTCAGTTACTACTGGATAATACCGGAATCGCCGCGGTGGCTTCTCAGTAAAAACAGAATAGACGAGGCGGAGGTGATCGTTCAACACATGGCGAAAGTCAACGGGAAGACCGTGCCGTCGAACTTCCTCAGAAAGATGGAAGTAATTATGTCCATATATATATATATATATTCGATTATTAATTAGAAAAACTAATGAACAATCTAATCGATTGACCTGATTCGCTTAAAAAAAAAAGTAGTTGTAGTTTCCCCGAATATACAAAAACATTTCTATGCTCATCCATGTACCTTCCGATAGAAACACTGAGAGATCGTGTGAAGTCATAGCAACATCCATTTGTAGGTAGAAATATTAAAGAGACAAGGGATATCGTGTAATGGTAGGAACTCCAATGAGGGTACGAACGTCGACGTTGAGGGCGAGAACAGATCGCCACCGCTGTCCGCGACCCCGATGGACCTGATCAGAAATCCGAATATCAGAAAGAAGTTTTTTATTCTCGCGTTCGATTGGGTGGCGAACGCGGTGGTTTACAACGGGCTGTCCTACAACACGACCAATTTGGGCGTCTCCGATTACCTGGCCTTCTTCATCGGTAAAAACGTTTTTTTTATTTTCTCTATCTCTATCTCTCTCTCTCTCTCTCTCTCTCTCTCTCTCTCTCTCTCTCTCGTCTTTGTCGCGTCGTTGTCAAATCGTTGTTGTTTATCTAATCTCGTTATGCTTTTCTGTTTGTTTTGAACGCGGGGGTGGGGAAATTATTAGGAGGTATCGTCGAGATTCCGTCGTACTTTCTTACGTGGTACGCGATGGACAGACTGGGCAGGCGATGGGTATTGTGCGTGACCATGATGCTCGGCGGGATCGCTTGCGTTTCTTGCATGTTCGTGCCCGAAGGTAAAGTTTCGTTCTAGAGATCTAGAGATCTGTCTTACGTTTCAGAAAGTTTTCTCGCAAAGAGCACTTTTTGAATCCAAAAATAGAAGAAGAAGAGAGAAAGAAGTTTCAGTGCGTTGCGACAAAAGAAAATTGAAAAAAGAAATTCGAAAGCAATTTATAAACAAATTACAAAAATATTAAAAGAAGTAGTTTTTTGTTTCTATAAATAATTTTGTTTAAGATTGCTTTTGGATGTTGAACGTGACGAATGAATTTTTTTGCGTTGTATTATTTTGTACTTGTTTGTTATTTGTTCCGTGGCAATTTTTATCCATTTTGTTTGTAAAACAAAAATGTACAAATCGGTTGTGTGTCGGCGCGCTGCTCATTTCCACATTATCCGATTATCCCCACGGGATTGAATAAAAGTAAATCGCGCGCCTTTGCGTCACGGCGGCCTCGACGTCATTAGCTTATTGAATTCGTCATGATATTGTCACACATGTGTTCAACATAAGCGGGCATTACCGTTGCGTCTACGTCACGACGTTTATGAGTAACGTGCGACCCGCTTAATAAATTAGTTACTATTACCCTGCATAAATTTCCTTCGCGCATTACGAAACCGACAAAGTTCCGAGAGCCTCTATCCGAGTTCTCACCCGAAACGCCGAATTCGTTCGAGGACAAAAAAAAAACCAACGAAAAATTTAAAAAGTAGACAAGAGAAAAACAAAATATGGCAGCGTCAAAAAAACTTGAAAAGTTTCATGCGATTCTTGTTTTGCAAACACGTGATCGACCTTTGTCGTAGCAGACGCGGTCTGGGTGACAGTCAGTCTGGCGATGATCGGAAAATTCGGCATCGCCGCGTCCTTCGCCGTCTTCTACGTCTTTGTCGGCGAGCTGTTGCCCACCGTGTTGAGATCCCAGGCGATGGGAATCGCCTCGTTCATCGCCGGCATCGGACTGCTCACTTTTCCCTACATCGTACATCTGGCGGTTTACTCGAGAGTGCTGCCGCTGATCGTTATGGGATCGCTTAGCGTCGCCGGCGCCATCACTTCCGTGTTTCTGCCGGAGACGCTCAATATTCATCTGCCGCAGACGATCGAGGAGGGCGAGCTGTTCGGTGCCGACTTCAAGCTGTGGTCCTGTCCAACGCTACCGACGTTAGTTAATCTTGCGATTGCAAACAAAAATATATTTATTGAAAACAAATATCAATTTGTTAATTAATTCGCATCGATTGGTTTTTTTGATTAAATTGTACGAATTTGTTTCCAGAAGAAGGCCGAACAAGTCCGAGTCCGTGCCGTTGAAATACTTGGTGAACGGCGGACCGGGTAGTCGCTCGTCTACCTCGAAGGCCGAGTCGCAGGAAGCCATAATCACGTCCGAGGACGAGAAATCGATTACCGCGCAGCCTTCGGCGGAGGAAGAGGCAAGGAACTTAAGCGAGTCCAAGGAGGAGAAACTGAATGTCGCGACGGCCGTTGAGCCAAAAACGTCCATCACGGTGGTAGAAGTGAACGTCTGCAGTCGGAAGTCGTAATACGAGAGAGAAAGACAGTTTTTATTAATTAAAAAACGTTGTATTATAATTACCAGTATAGACACGCATTGTATTTATTTTTCCAATTATTACAATGTACTTCCTTTGTGTTAAAACCTGCCTCGACAGAGAGAGAGAGAGAGAGAGAGAGAGAGAGAGAGCTCGTCTACCAGCACGTTCGTTTGGTTTCGTTCAAATTTTGCGTGCTGCAAGAGAGCAAAGTGCTGCTGTCAAGTGTCGTCACGTGGTGTGCGTTCGTATGCGTGTGTGTGCAACAAAAATGCGTGATTGATTGACGCGCGCGCGCGCGGGGCGAGAATTAACGTCCTCTTAAAGATCTGTGAGAATTTTAGAAGCGTTTTTTAACGCTTATATATACTTTTTTATGTGTTTCGGTTACGTACGTCGATTTTGCATTTTTTGTCTTTACGTTAATTGAACCCGAGTTTCACGTTGTGATTTCAGTTAGCTTAAAAAAAAAAAAATAAAATAAAATAAAATATCTCTAGTACGGCAAGCTGTTGCTGTCATGTGTGTGTGGAAAACCTTTTGTCGATCGTGCACGTCAATTTTTTGTTTTGACGCACAATGACTCACGTGAGAGAAACAAGAATATTTTATTTGTTTGTTATATATTGGCAGAGTTCGAGCGGAAGTTCAAGCAATAATATTATCCGCCGGTATTGTTGCCGGAGGATCGATGCTACCGCGTCGGAATGACGACGAGAGTGGATTGATGGGTAAAAGAAATTACGCAAACGATTAGCGAACAGTCGCCAAGGAGAAATCAACAGTCGCATGTTTGTGTTTAGATGACATTTTTGAAAAAAATCCGCGATATAATCTCCATCCTCTCCGTCCTCGACTTCCCGGAAATCATCATAACGGTCGTCGTTGTTTCCCGTTTATTATTTATTTTTTGTTGAAAAATTCGCGTGATATATATTTTTTTTAGTATACAAAATGCGTGAAATTGTTCACTTCCAAGCCGGTCAGTGTGGCAATCAAATTGGCGCCAAGGTTAGTTTGTTCGTTAAAAATTAAATATACGAAATTGCATATAATGTCTAAGACGTAATCATTGATGTGTACTCGTGTCTCTTGTTGCGATTAGTTTTTCCCCCCGTTAATCGCAATAAGTTGATATTAATAACATTTGATATTAATAAAGTTAAAAGTTATAAATATGTATATTAGAATTACAAATTAAATTCTGTCATAATGTAACATTTTTAACGGATCTAATATTTTTAGTTTTTTTTTTTTTTTTTTACATCGTAACGTAAAAAACGACTTTAGTCCGAAACGATGGTTAATCATTCGATTGTTCTTAACAATTCGTAGTTTTGGGAGGTGATTTCGGATGAGCATGGAATCGATCCAACCGGCACCTATCACGGAGACTCGGATCTCCAATTGGAACGTATCAACGTGTATTACAACGAAGCCTCCGGGCCGAAATACGTGCCGCGCGCGATTCTGGTGGATCTCGAGCCGGGCACAATGGACTCCGTGCGATCGGGGCCTTTCGGGCAGATATTTCGACCGGACAATTTTGTGTTCGGACAATCCGGCGCCGGTAACAACTGGGCCAAGGGTCACTACACCGAAGGCGCCGAGCTGGTCGACTCCGTGCTCGATGTGGTGAGAAAGGAAGCGGAGAGCTGCGACTGCCTTCAAGGTTTTCAGCTCACGCACTCGTTGGGAGGTGGCACCGGGTCCGGGATGGGTACTCTTCTTATTTCGAAGATTCGAGAGGAATATCCGGACAGGATTATGAGCACGTTCTCGGTCGTGCCTTCGCCCAAAGTCTCGGACACGGTTGTGGAACCTTACAACGCCACCCTTTCGGTCCATCAGCTGGTGGAGAACACCGATCAAGCTTATTGCATCGACAACGAAGCGCTTTATGATATCTGCTTCCGCACACTGAAGCTTACCACTCCAACGTACGGTGATTTAAATCATCTCGTCTCCGCTACTATGTCCGGTGTGACTACTTGCTTGAGGTTTGTTATAATATCTACTACTTGCTTAAGGTTCGTTATAATATCTAAGTATTCAGAGATTATTCTAAATAATTGACTCAATGTATATATATATATATATATACATTATTATATTAAATATTATATATATATATACATTATTATATTAAATATAATAAGAGAAATTATAATATACAGAAAGCTCCAATCTAAATAAATGATATACATTGCACAAGTCACATTTTTCTGAAATAACTTTAGATTTCCCGGCCAGTTGAATGCCGATCTAAGAAAGCTCGCGGTGAACATGGTGCCGTTTCCTCGACTTCACTTCTTCATGCCGGGTTTCGCGCCTCTCACGTCCCGAGGGAGCCAACAATATCGCGCTCTCACCGTGCCGGAACTCACTCAGCAAATGTTCGACGCGAAGAACATGATGGCGGCCTGCGATCCTCGCCACGGTCGATATCTCACCGTCGCGGCCGTCTTTCGCGGCCGAATGTCGATGAAGGAGGTGGACGAGCAGATGCTCAACATCCAGAACAAAAACAGCTCGTACTTCGTCGATTGGATACCGAACAACGTGAAGACAGCTGTGTGCGACATTCCGCCACGCGGTCTCAAGATGTCGGCCACTTTTATCGGCAACTCCACCGCCATTCAAGAGCTGTTCAAGAGAATTTCCGAACAATTTACCGCCATGTTCAGGAGAAAGGCTTTCCTCCACTGGTACACGGGCGAGGGTATGGACGAGTTGGAGTTCAACGAGGCGGAATCGAATATGAACGATTTGGTGTCCGAGTACCAGCAATATCAGGAAGCCACGGCGGAGGAGGACTTCGAAGGAGAGGACGAAGAAATGGAGAAGTGAACGGGAGAAGAGAATCGCGCGCGATCAAATTTTTCGTGCGCGGTCTCGCATACTGTGCTTTTGTTAGTCTTTTACAATGTTTTTATATGTTGTTTACGTTTTTGGAAAACATTTTTGCCACTTGTACTTGTGTGTTGTTCGTGAGATTTGATAATAGATATATGCTAACAAAAATAAATAACAAAATGCGTACGTGTCTACTGTTCTTACGTCGAAAGTTTTTATATACGATAGCTTTTTTCTCGCGAATTAATATAATCTGTTTTTTTTCTCACACATACAGTTAGAAGCGTATTGTCTTCTGTCGCGTGAACGGTGTTGCATCGGTAATATTTTACAAACAAAGAGCATTATTTCGCGCAACTTTATATAAGCGAGAACATTATGCATACGCAACGCAATTACATCGTATCTCAACACGGTCTTGCAACATTATCATCAGAGTTAATGTCCGTAACGCGATTTATAAATACGCGCGTATCTCTGAAATAAACGAGACGAGCACGCATTATTTAGACGAGTTTATCGTTATCTGATGACGTTGATGAATGAAGTCGAGAGAAAAAAAAATGGAGATCGCGTGTTATCGCCCGGCGTGTCCGAGTGTGTCGATTTACACAATTTCTGTGTTGTGTAATATTATTATTAATAACACGCGAGAATTCGCGGAACAATGATGTGTTCTTACATAATTTGCGAGGAAAATATTACAAAAGATATAGCGAAGAAAAAAGTGTAAAATAGTGAGTGTGTGCGATTTAAAAACAAAAATGTGACAGATTTGTGGGAACGTCCTGAGAACAAAAAATTTTAAAATGGCTTGAGGTAGTGTAACAGTGTTTTTAAATTACAAGCGATTAGAAGGATGATTTTTAAAAACTGTTTTATTGCAAAACTTTTCAGTCCACACTCCTTTATAGCAACATATCTGTGTGTGATTATCATTGGGTCAAAGCTGAATGTAATACAGACGCATCGGAGATTAATGAAGAGAACACCCAGCAACCTCTAATTGTTTTTCTACATATCACTCATCATCTCAAGAATGCAGTTGTTCTTTTTTTTTTTTTTTTTTTTCAAATATTTATTTCATAAATAATCCAGTATCACAACATATTGAAAAAGCAACCTCTCAATCATCTATATTACACTTCACGTTGATTACAAAAGCGTATCGTACGTAAAAGGTATCAAAAAAGAACGGGATTTCCCTTGCGCGAATGTGCGCACAGTGTCGATCGTGCGAACTTCGGCAACGCGATAGGGATACAGATAAAGAAGCAGGAGATAAATTTAGCAAAAGAAAATCAATCGTTTTAGTTTTCCTGCTCGCAAGTTTCGAAGTCATCGGCGCACTCTTCCGTTTCGAAGTCCTCCTCCGCCGTGGCTTCCTGATATTGCTGATACTCGGACACCAAGTCGTTCATGTTGGACTCGGCCTCGGTGAACTCCATCTCGTCCATACCCTCGCCGGTGTACCAATGGAGGAAGGCCTTTCTCCTGAACATGGCGGTGAACTGCTCGGAGATTCTCTTGAACAGTTCCTGAATGGCGGTTGTATTGCCGATGAAGGTCGACGACATCTTCAAGCCTTTCGGCGGGATGTCGCAAACGGCGGTCTTCACGTTGTTCGGTATCCACTCGACGAAGTACGAGCTGTTCTTGTTCTGCACGCTGAGCATCTGCTCGTCCACCTCCTTCATCGACATTCTACCGCGAAAAACGGCCGCCACGGTGAGGTATCTGCCGTGACGTGGGTCGCAGGCCGCCATCATGTTCTTGGCGTCAAACATCTGCTGAGTGAGCTCCGGCACCGATAGAGCGGAATATTGTTGCATAGACCGGGACGTAAGTGGCGCGAAGCCCGGCATGAAGAAGTGCAGACGTGGGAAGGGCACCATGTTAACCGCGAGCTTTCGCAGATCGGCGTTCAGCTGGCCGGGAAACCTGTACAAGTCAATTTGTTTTCACACTTGAATTTTGTTTACTCTGTGCATGTCATTGTCTTGCGACGTTACTTGTATTTTGCACGTATTGCGGAGACAACTGAAGAGATGAGAATTTGAAAGATATTATATCTAGGAAGTAACGCGTAGCAGGTCTCATTTGAAACGCAAAAAACTTATATATACGTGAAATATATTTATACATACTGTCTGCCATGAATTTTGAAACAAACCTAAGACAAGTCGTCACTCCGGACATGGTAAGCGAGACCAGGTGATTAAGATCGCCGTAACTGGGATTGGAAACCTTGAGAGTACGGAAACAGATGTCGTACAGGGCCTCGTTGTCGATGCAATAAGTCTCGTCGGTGTTCTCGACCAATTGATGCACCGACAGAGTCGCGTTGTACGGCTCCACGACCGTGTCGGACACCTTTGGCGAAGGCATTACCGAGTACGTGTTCATAATGCGATCGGGATATTCCTCGCGAATCTTCGAGATCAACAGCGTGCCCATACCGGATCCAGTTCCGCCTCCTAACGAATGCGTCAGTTGAAAACCTTGAAGACAGTCGCAGTTCTCGCACTCTTTTCGCACGACGTCGAGCACGGAATCGACCAGTTCGGCACCCTCGGTGTAATGGCCCTTCGCCCAATTGTTACCGGCACCGGACTGGCCGAACACGAAGTTGTCCGGTCTGAAGAGTTTCCCGTAAGCGCCGGAACGAACGGCGTCCATCGTTCCCGGTTCCAGGTCCAGCAGAATCGCGCGCGGCACGTATTTCCCGCCATTTGTGGATGTTGCGACTTGAGTTGGAAAAAAGCACACACACAATTGAAACTTAATAATTAATATTTTTAAATATTTTACTTACGTTCGAGTATATTTTGAACGAGATAGAAATGCAAAACACACTCTTATATTAATATTTCAACGATCTCTAATAGCCAATTAGTATCGTCACTAATAACAATACCGTATTGAAAAAGAAAAAGGATAATTACCGGAGGGAAAAGAGAAAGTTTTACAAATATTCCTTTGTAGAGCTGCTAAATATTGTTCGTAAGTATTGAAGAGAACGTGTATAAAAAAAAAAAAAAAATAATTTGTAATTAGTAGTCGCCACGCATCTCGCGAATGGAAGAGGACAAAGCGTCCATATTAAATTGACCGCTATTGTTATTCCACCGAAATCTTGAACCGACGGAAATGCGTATACGGTCGGAATCGCGCGTGCGCGACATCATTTGCAAATGAGCCGTGCTATCGTCTAACAATACGAGGATTTGCATTGTTCGAGAGTCGATTGTGCACATCGCGAGAAAAAAGATTCAAATTTTTTGATGCGAATTGTCGTGAGATTTTATCGCTGAAAGTGTACGTACGCACTTTTGAGGCTTCGCAATAAAACTGTAAGCAAAATGTAGAATCGAAAACTAAAAATTTCCCACGTAAATTGGGACGCAAGTTCATTTTCAAGAACATTGTTAACGATTTTTCGTTTTGCATTTGTGTTGTATTGTTTGTTAGTGTTTTTGACAAAAATTTTATTTCCACGCGCGAGCAAGCGCGAAGAGAAGGTTCTGAAATCGCGTCGCGTGGCGACTCTATATAAGTCTAAGTTTGACCGCACTTGCGGGGACACACGTACGCACACGCGGAAAGCAACTATTTTCAGTATAAATGCATGTCCCATTGCTCCTTTTCTCCATCACACCATCGACCCGAGACACGCCTCTTTTCTATCTTTCTCGTTACTATTTTCGACCCGAGGACAAAATCCGCCTCGGGAGCGGAGAGAGATTTGTGAAAAAATAATCGAAAGAGACTCAATTCCTCATTTTTTATTCGCAAAGAAAACTGACGATAACAAATAAAAAATAAAGCGACGGTGATATCTCAAGATTCGTTCACATGCCGTAAAACAAAAAAAAGTTCGATCGCGTGTTTATTTCTGTTCTCGTTCGCGATCGCAAAAAGGAACATATTTCTTCAAATTCTTTACACATCGAGCGTCACACCAGAGGTGACGACAATCGATAAATCGGTTTCTTACCGGATGCTTCGTTGTAATACACGGAGATACGCTCCAGCTGCAGATCGCTGTCGCCGTGATAAATGCCCGACTGATCGATGCCGTGCTCCTCAGAAATAACTTCCCAGAACTGTAATGAGATTCATTTAAAGAAAAAAAAAAAAAACGTTAAATCAACCTCCGAAAACGCGCGTCTCTCGTTTCAGAGACACATGTATTTGCGCGCGTGTAACACCGGGGATCTCTCACGGTGTAAGAGGCTGATGGAGAAGGGCGCGCTTTCTCTCATTTATACAGCTTTAAATATAACTCTTTGTGAGTGTTTTTATCTCATACCGCGGTTTTATCTCGCTGTGCTTTTTTTTACACACCGCTACTTAGAAATGTGCGTGTGTGTGTGTGTGTCGAGTGAAGGGTGCGACTTCCCTGGAAAGTCGAAGAGTGTGCGCATCCCAAAGCTCTCTCGGCGGAGAGCGGCGGATGAGACAAGGATGTAACACGCGCGACATCCAAAAATAGAGACGCACGGAATTAACGCGCGGCCTCTGCCCCCTTTGGCTCGTGTGTGTGTGTCCACCACCCTCCCGTTGAACAACATTTCTCTTCGTTTTGTGTCTTGTCTTTTTACTATTTTCCGTTTCTATTAATAACGAGACCAGGACGGCGCGCCGGCGGTCGCGCGCGTCGTCACGACGCTGCAAACGCCGTCCTGTGGCAAACGCGTCCCTCTGATTATTCTAAATGCACCTACCTAGCTCCCGCTGGTCGGAGAGGAGCACGTGGCGCTCGTTGTCGCAATAAATTTCCGTCGCTCTTCAAACAACCGAGCGCGAGAATTTATTCTCTGTATACACCAATATATAATTGAATAATATTATATATCCAATAAGAAAGAAAGAAATGTGTGCGCGCAAAAAGAAAAGAAAAATTCGCACACACACACACACACACACGGAGAATTTCAAACGAGCGCGCTATAGGAATTTCTGACTCACCAGGAGGGCGTTTCTCCTCGTAATTCTGGTTCACGAATTAGCGTGCGTCATCGGGCAACTCCACGTAAGAAACATCTTAATTCTGTGACTAAGTTACACAGAAACGCTCGATAAACCGTGCCTTATCGAACGTAAACATCGATAAAGCGTTCGGAATATTTGCTCCCGCGAGAAAAGAGAAAAAATAGAAAAAGCGATAAATGTACAGGTAAATTATTAAGCATCTAAATTGGGATCATCACATTAATAATAATAATATTTGCCACGGTAAATAATTTGTTTCAATGCTTTTGTGCAAATGTGTTTGTGTGTGTGTAATCCTTTAATATTGTTTTCAGAAAAATAAACATAATCAACAGACCGTGAGTTCTCGCACCGTCGCACGTGAATACGATCAATGTGATTAGCGAATTTCAAGTGCTTCCCCCCTTTCCCCCCCCCCGCGATAATCCTTTCGCATTTCGTGCGCGTCTCACACACACACGCAGGTAGGTATCGTCGAAATTTGTAACGAACACAAATGACCGAGAGAACAACAAACAACAAATAACTCGGTATTAAATCAATCGCGGCAAATTGTGTTTGATGCAAAACCCGTGTTGAAAAATAATTTTACACAAGTTTTAAGTATATAATCGCGTCATTTTATCGAGGAAAAAAAGATTTTACGGATTTTGCGCGTGCAATGAATATAAAAAAAACTTAACTTTCCATGTAATTTTTGTTTGACAGTTTTGAGAGATATAAGTAATTTTAAAAAACCAATAAAAAGTTTTGAATCTCCACTCGCTTTCGTGTCCACCCAATTTCACGCCAATGGACAAGCAGAAGTGATTACCGCAGAATTTTAAGTGCTCTCTCTCTCTCTCTCTCTCTCTCTCTCTAAGTATACGAGATCGTCGTTTCCTGTTTTGCCCTCCCGAGCCGCCGAGGTGATTACAACTTGGATCACTTTACGCACTTTGACCGTAAAAATGGGAGGGGAACTTTACCGACAACAAAGAGAGAAAGAGAGGAACACACGCAAGAGTGGCTCTCTTTAAATTCCATCTCGTTGCGCCATCCTCGTCTTATCTGCCGACTCTTGATTGCACCGTCTCGGTCACACGATACCGAGAAAGGTTACACTACTTGTCTTGTTCTATATAGAACAACCGTAATGCTCGTATTCCTCATCGCTTGCCGCTACAAAAAAAAAAAAAGATCCACGCGATCAAGGAAGATCGAGAGCAGATCCGGATGTAATATTTACAAGAGATGAAACAATATCAGATTAAACGTTGAAACAATTGTTACGAATAATTACAATCGACGCGTAAACTTTTGCGTGATTTGACAAAAACGTAATACACGCGGAACAAAAAAAGTCATCAACATTGAGATAAGAGCGGCGCATTTCGCAGTTTAAAGAGCTTTTCGGGGGAAACCCCGCAGCGCGAGAGGCTAACCGAACTCTAAAGATCGATACCTTCGAAGACGGGGGGTGGTGAGTCATAGTTGTTCTCCCTTTAATTGGTCTGTCGTCTGGGGCGCGCAAAACGGATTTACAGTTTTGTTTTTTCTTTTTTTTTATTTTCGCACAATGCCGCGTATCTCTTCGCGACGGGCAAAAATTGTTACATCGGGGTCTCTTTCCTGCCGCACTTACGCGCGAATGAACGGCTTTCAGTCATCACACACGCTTTTGAATGTCGAAGTCAGTTAGCCGTCCGGCTGAATGCGAGTTGCCACAAAAGCCAACTCCCGAATTTAGAACCGTTTTTTATTTTTTATTTTTTTTTTAACAAAAACTCCGTCCGTTTTGTTAACGTTTCCTTCTTTCGCATCGCTACAATATGTATTTCCGTTTCAACGAAAAGTAATTTTTTTTTTGTTCTGTTAATTGTCTTCTCTCTTAATTTCAATTAACATTGGACACGATCGAGACATACGGCTACTAAATTCTCTTCGCTCTTGTTCCGAAATTTAACGAAAGACACTTCGACACTTACCTTCGCTCCGATCTGGTTGCCGCACTGTCCAGCCTGCAGATGCACGATCTCCCTCATCTTGCTGTCCTCGAAATGTGATCAAAAAACGAAAAAAAAAAAAAAACGGGCGCGACGAAAAGCAATCGATATTCCCTCTTCTAATATCGAGTCTTCTCTCTCCTCAAATTCTCTTCTTGCTCCGACTTGATCTTGTCACCGACAGATGCGCACGTTTTGACGGGAGAGACGCGTCGAGAGAGACGTGGGCGCTTTGCGTGTGTGCAGCTGAGTGCAACCGAGCCGAGGAGTGCAACCGGCCGAGTCAACCGCGAGTCTGTTGCGTCCGCAAATGACGAGCCGAGGACGACGAGGGAAACGTTTGCCGCGCTCGGCGTCCTGAGACGATCCACTCTCTCAAAGCGGAGAGCTGTGCACGGAGGTCTGCGACGACGATGGGGTTTAAGTTTTAAAGGGAGAGACAGAGAGAGAGAGAGAGAGAGAGAAATAGACAGATAGAGAGAAAGAGAGAGAGAGAGAGAGAGAGAAAGAGAGAGAGGGAAAGGTCGTTCGTCCGTCGACGAGGAAAGAAGAAATGGAAAGACGGACGTAGGGAAAGGGGAACGACGGACGTGTACCACGGATGGGTGACAAACGGCGCGCGAGAAAACGAAGAGAAGAAGCGACAAAGCTTTTTGCGAACGGAGTTATACGCTCCGAAGAGAAAGAAATGCGTGAAATTCTTCGAGGGTGTGTGCGAATGTATACGTAAATTAACGTTTTTCCAGATTTTTTTTTCTCTCCATGTGTGTGTGTGTGTGTGTGTGTGTGTGTAAATATAGAATTTTTTTTCTAAAAATAATTTCTCGTCACTGAGGCGAGTAATTTCTCCGAGCTCTTCGAGCGCGAAATTAATTCCAAAACAAATTAATTAGCGTATTAATTAACGTATTACTTAGAAAGTAGATTGTGGATGTATAACTGTCGTGTATTACTTAGCGCGAAGATATACGATATTGCTCGCTTTATATCGAATCTCCTTGAAGCTCATTCACCGGAACTGTAACCGGAGACCGGGGGGGCAGTTTTTTGAAAAATTAATTTTCTCCCGTGCTCGCGTGTGGACGATATATTTTATATACATATGGTCGAAAGTATCACGTTCTCACAACGGAAGCGTACTAATTCTAAGGTACCGCGTGCGCGCTTTTACCGTCCTACAAAATTACAATCATGCGAAAGCAATAAATAAAATAAATCATACATCCTCGAATTAAAGCTGAATGTTGTGTTCTTTTGTGTGTAATTTTCGAACACACAAAAGTGTTTTTATACGCGAGTTGTAATGCCAATAATCAATCGTAAACGACAAGAGAGTTGTTTCATTTAATAATAATTGCACGGCATGAGTTCTCGGAACGGGATGTCGCTCCCCGAAAAATTCTCCAAGATTCGCGCACGAGAGCGCGGTGGAAGTTTGTCTCGCTCCGTGAGTCACGCTTTTATAAAGTGACATTTTCATCCGCTTTCCACAACGGCACACACGTCGTTGCGCGACAATAATCGCGAGCATTAGTCGCGTTCCATCTCCCGCAGTTCGAGAGAAGCCGCTTGTTGTAAAAAGCTTCCGTCTATTATTGTCACTGTCTTTCCTCGCGTCCCGTTTGCGTTCGCGTTCGTTGAAGCCGCGGCACGTGGTCATTCGCACGAGAGAGAGAGAGAGAGAGAGAAAAAAGGCGTGATAAATCGCTTTTATCAAGCGAACCGACGAAACTTGCGGTCAACTCCCCTGTTGTTTGACTCGAATAAAGAATGTAAATAAAAAAAAAAAATTAAAAGCGCAAACATAAAACAGTTAAAAATCTAACAATTATAACTAAAAGTTAAGTTCGCTAATGAAGAAAAGCGCGAATCAAGAATATTTACGATACTGGCACGTCAATATTTGACCGGGAGGTCTAATTTATTGTTTATACAATTTGCGTTTTGATTGTTTTTTAATATTTGTAAATATTTGAATTTTTCTTTTAAGTCTCTCTTCTACCTATGCGCCTCGATGAAACCGTACGAACGATTATTTGTTTCCAAGCGGAAATAACTGTATGTGTGGGCAATGCCGAATAGTTACAATTTATTAGTCATCGTTATCATACCCCCGTCGCTGTGTCTAATGTTGACCCGCATATATGCGCTCGTTACAAAGTCAAGAGATTAGACTTGTTCCCTTTTCTGATCGCACAGTTGATTTGCATTTCATGCAAAATGTGTATTTCGAAACGCGCGCGGTTTGAGGAAATATATATTTCTCTGAAACGCGTGTTAAAAATTAAATTTTCGAACAAGTACTAGCGATTCGACGGGAAATAAAAAATTTATATTTTTTAAAAATGGTTTTTTTAATAAGTTACAAACGCGTACTTTGTCGTGTTTGTCGTGTGGCGCCTGACCGACTTTGTAAGACGAGACGACGGTCGTCGATGTTACATCGCGGAGGCGATGAGTCATGTTTTCTCTGTCAAGAACGATGTCTGCACTTTATCAAAGACAATTGACTAAAATCCAAGCTGCACGTCACACAAATCTTCACACACGTCACATCAATTGCGCGTATAATTTTATTAGATTAAAAAATTGAGAATAAAATTACATATAGCCGCACAAAGTGTACTGCAAATAGTAAAAACAATGATTCCTTGATTTTATTATTGTTGTATAAATTTTAAATCGCCTCGCACACAAATGTGAAATTAAAAATATCTCTGTCTCAATCGTCAAATAAATTGAAATGTTTCGGAGAAAAATAGAGTCTAACGACTGCATTGGAAGAATATATTGCGCGAACTGAACATAGCAGTGAGTTAAATAGCGCAAAATTAAAAATGCGAATCCCAAAGACAGTAATTTCGAGAAGTAGTTCAGAGCGGCGTTTGCCGCGCAAAAACGGAAGTGTGAAATTATCTATCTATTTTGCGCGTTGAGAGCATCAACTCCAGTTTCTCACACACATGCCAATTGTTGCCGAGTAAGAAAACTAGGCGACGAGAGATAAGTTTAATAACTTGCCGTTCTTCATTTGCGTCTGCGTATATCGATCGCGCGAAACTGATACACCGCGCCGATCTGATTCCGTCGGTTTAACTGTATCTTGTTATAATCCGTTAGCTCTGCTAGATCGCGACTACACAGAGCGATGAGCTCGACATTCTTTTTATGATCGGCGCGCCGCATTCATAGCGCGGATGTTAAAACGTTAATTGTGCTCGCAAGGCAGAAAAACACAGCTCGGCATTCTCTCAGCGGACGCGAAAGTGGCGCAATTTTGCATCTCGCACGACCTTTTACTGTGATATCACAGACCTCTGTGCGTAACACTTCTATATATACTGTATATACTATATATATAATTATATAGAAATTTATTATGTGATATATATAAAAATTAAAATAATGTTGAAGTAAATGTTATGTGTGCGTGAAGACGATACACTTTGCATTTTAGTGAGAAGAATTAGTTTCATCACATCTCTTGATTAACTTATTAATTACGTCGATATTTGCCATTTCAAAAAATATTGCATTTGAATTTTACTCCCAAAAGAAATTTATTTTATATTTTATTTAATTAAAATAATGTTGAGGTAAATGTTATGTGTGCGTGAAGACGATACACTTTGCATTGTAGTGAGAAGAATTAGTTTCATCACATCTCTTGATTAACTTATTAATTACGTCGATATTTGCCATTTCAAAAANTATTGCATTTGAATTTTANTCCNAAAAGNAATTTATTTTATATTTTATTTAATTAAAATAATGTTGAGGTAAATGTTATGTGTGCGTGAAGACGATACACTTTGCATTGTAGTGAGAAGAATTAGTTTCATCACATCTCTTGATTAACTTATTAATTACGTCGATATTTGCCATTTCAAAAATTATTGCATTTGAATTTTATTNCNAAAAGGAATTTATTTTATATTTTATATTATATTTAAAATAATGAAGAATATAAGAAGTTTTAAGAGAATATATATATATAGAAAAGAGTTTCAAAAAGAATTCACAAAATTCGAAGAAAGTTAAAGAGACTCAACTGTTTGACGACTCACATTTGTGCCGGTCCCTTCGTCGTCCATCGATGCATCTTCCTCTGCAACAATCTCCCTCGGAAGTGTATCCCAGTGTAGTTCTCGCGTCCATGTCCGGGCGCTTATTTTCACACTCGCGACGCGGAAGATGCGGAAATGTCACACACGCGCGCAAAATAGAAATTCCATCGAAGTCGGAAATTTTCCAAAGCACACACTTCCACACCAACTACTGATTTAAAACTCGAGCAGAGAGGAGCGACAATGACGCGACTAAGAAATTTGCGAACATCGTAAATAAAATTGAACACGCGAGTTGAATTATTTGACTACACTTCATCCTGTTTCCGTAACCTTGTTCGGCGGTAAAAAAATTCCGGAGCTCGCTAAAAGCTCTCACTTTGTTACAGTCGCACAATCCTATAGCTGCAATTTGGAAATTTATTTCCTCGCGCGGAAATTCCATTTCGCGAAAGCGCGAACGGCCGCTTTGCAATTGCATCGCGAAGTTCACTGATCACCCAAGCGAGTGCGCGACGCTAATTACGTGGGAACATCCGACATCTAATCGATATTCACGTAATTGCGACGATAATAATCGCGAAAACCATACGCGAACTAATTCGAAAGTTCTCCTCGCATCGGCATCCATTTTGTCTCTCGCGCGCGTTTCTTAGAAGCACAACGCTTTCACCCTATACTCGCCAATTACGATTAATAATTTACGAGTACGCGATATTAATTATGTATCACACCGCGTATCTACGCTCGACAGTTTTCGACACACGTGCCGGATTGATACTCGCGTGCGAGACGATAACAATCGCGAAAGATACAAGGAAACAATTACAAACGTGGTTCCGTAGGCTCGCGTCGCGCGCCCGCCATGACTGCTCGCTCAATTCGAGTGTATCGAAACGCGCGGTATCTCGACAATCGATATATCGAATCGATCATCGAGATATATCGAATCGATTATCGAGATACCGCGCGCGCCACAGCACGGAACGGAACCAAATCGAAGATAGAGTTTTTTTTTATTCACCGAGTTCGCGTGCGTAGTTGACGCGCAAACCGTGGACGTCGCGGCGTTCGAGGGCGGGAACAACAACGCGCGTTCAGAAACATTTTAGTACGCGCCGCTCTCACAGAGGCTCGTCTCTCAGCGTGAATCATAGATTTGCAATACCGCGATGGTAAATATCGGAGAACTCGGCTGCAATTGGTAAATGTAAGTGCACATAAAAAAGATTTTAGTAACTGCAAAGTCGTAAACAATTCGATCAATTAAACAGACCAGTATTATCTTCTTAACTAATAATTAGAGCTAAAATGTTGACCTGACTGATTGGTCTGTGCTCGCGACCTTACTTAAGATTGCGATTAAAATTTTGTCACTCGCAACAGTCTTGACGATTCAACTTCAAAAACGTTTTTCTAAGAAACGCAAAATATAAATGTGACTGTATATATATGTATATAATAAATAATGAGTCGCTCAGAAAATGTGTAGCGTTTTTAAATAAAATTTAAAAACTCTCTTCTCGTATCGACTCACAGAATCCAGCTGTTGTAATCGCTCGTATACGGTGCTGTTTGATGTTTTTAATGTTTCTGATCAATAATCACCGTATATATTAATGTTCAAAGTATAATTGTTTTTCGTATGTATATATATATATAGGAAATACGTCTATTAGTTTCTATCATGCAATATTTGTTTAAGCAAAATGTTTCTCCAGAATATAAAACGCGTTCAAGATTAAAACGCTCGTTGTACGTCATATATTTTATGAATTTTTATTCACACATCTATTTATCATAGTATAAAACTGCAAATGATAACAGATGATTATATAAACATATAAGAAGTCCTCGCGAACATACAAAACTCAATACAGCGCTATGTATCTCAGATCTCTGTGTAAATTAACGGAGGGAGAGTAAGTGCGAGTGATTGCGACCCAAAAATTCGTATGATAATAATTTATTCAAATATGGTAAGCGGCCGCTTTTAGCGGGTATACACTGGATGATTGTACAGGCGCGCGTAAATTAAATAATTATTTTATTGTGAAGAAGGATATATATATATATAAAGGAATACTTTATAGAAAATAATTCAAAACTGAAACTTTTCGAATTATCCGCACCGAGTACACGGTGTGTATTATAAACGGGAGGAGGAAGGGTAAACGAAAAGCACGCGCGCTCCGCAAAATTCGAAATACAAGTCCATACAAAAAAGATACAAAAGAGAGATAACGTAGAAGTCGAGTTAGAAAGCATGGATGAAGGGTAGGAGAGGTGTGTGTTGCGTTATCGCTCGATTGAGAGAGGAAAGAAGAGGACAAGAATGCTGCTGCTTCCGCCGCGGGATGCTATTTTTTTTTCTCCCCCTTAGTTCTCGTCGACTTCAGCTTCCTGTTCCTCATCAAATTCAGCATCCTCATCCGCAGTGGCTTCCTGATATTGCTGGTACTCGGACACCAAATCGTTCATGTTCGATTCCGCCTCTGTGAATTCCATCTCGTCCATACCCTCGCCGGTGTACCAGTGAAGGAAAGCCTTTCTCCTGAACATGGCAGTGAACTGTTCGGAGATGCGCTTGAACAGCTCCTGAATGGCGGTGGAGTTGCCAATGAAAGTGGCCGACATCTTGAGACCACGTGGCGGAATGTCGCAAACGGCAGTCTTCACGTTGTTCGGGATCCACTCAACGAAGTACGAGCTGTTCTTGTTCTGAATGTTGAGCATCTGTTCGTCAACCTCCTTCATCGACATTCTACCGCGGAAGATGGCAGCGACTGTGAGGTACCTTCCGTGTCTGGGATCGCAAGCGGCCATCATGTTCTTGGCGTCGAACATCTGTTGGGTGAGTTCCGGTACAGAGAGCGCTCTGTACTGTTGGCTACCGCGAGATGTGAGAGGTGCAAATCCTGGCATAAAGAAGTGGAGACGTGGGAATGGTACCATGTTCACAGCGAGTTTTCTGAGATCAGCGTTCAGCTGGCCGGGGAACCTTAGGCAAGTGGTTACACCGGACATCGTAAGGGAAACGAGATGGTTAAGATCTCCGTACGTGGGCGTTGACAGTTTTAGAGTGCGGAAGCAAATGTCGTAAAGAGCCTCGTTGTCGATGCAATATGTTTCGTCTGTGTTTTCAACGAGCTGGTGCACGGATAGAGTAGCGTTGTATGGCTCGACGACTGTATCGGACACCTTCGGTGACGGCACAACGGAATACGTGTTCATGATTCTGTCAGGGTATTCCTCGCGGATCTTGGAGATGAGCAAGGTACCCATACCGGAACCGGTACCACCGCCGAGGGAGTGCGTGAGCTGGAATCCTTGCAGACAGTCGCAACTTTCAGCCTCCTTTCTTACAACGTCGAGAACCGAATCTACCAATTCAGCGCCCTCGGTATAGTGACCCTTAGCCCAATTGTTACCAGCGCCGCTCTGACCAAACACAAAGTTATCTGGTCTAAAGATCTGTCCAAACGGTCCCGAACGTACAGAATCCATAGTGCCAGGTTCCAGATCGACGAGGATGGCACGTGGCACGTATTTTCCGCCGGACGCTTCATTGTAGTAAACGTTGATTCTCTCCAACTGAAGATCGGAGTCACCGTGATAAGTTCCAGTTGGGTCGATGCCGTGCTCATCGCTGATGATTTCCCAAAACTGAAATACAATAACGTATTGTAAAAACAATTCGATCTCATCGCTAAAAATTAATACTAAAAAAATTATTCAAGTCTCGATAACTTAAACAAAGAAAAAAAATCTGCAAAGAGCGTCGCGCATTCCCCTTTTTCTTCAAGCAAGTGTTACCCGTGCCGGAACGAATCAGCGACGCCTCAAAAAAATTAGATACGCGTTCTGACTCTCGCATCATCCGTGCGCGTGCGCACGAAGGAAGGAAGTTTCGCGCACCAGCTTTCTCCCTGCAATTATCCTCACATCCGTTTCCAACCTTCCATTGTATTGAGCGCTAACGGAGCCGGTTCAACGACCTCACCGCGCGCGGCAGACAACTCGCGTGTAATTAATCGCAATATTCTCTTACGGTCTGCGCATCAAATTATAATTCTCTCTCTCTCTTTTTCTTTCTTTATAGTTTTCAAAACGGGCTCGGATCTCGAGAACAACCGATTCGCGTCTGAGCGATAATCGAGACCAATTAACGGAGTAAGAGATCTCACTCGGTGCAGATTTTCGCATTTCGTCCTTAAAGCGATTGGTCGATTCGCGATGCTGTGAGACGACGAGTCTGCGGCATCGCGCAATTAATTATTCATGCCATCGATCCTAGGAAAGTATGAGCAATTGAACACCAATTTTGAAAATCGATTTGCTAAAACTTGATTGTTTTTTTTTTCTTTCAGAACCGATATAAATCAGTGAAAGAGAGACACGAGTATCAGACCACAGCGGAGTAATCATTAATTTCAAATCTCCCTGAGAAGGCAACAATTTCGAAAATTTTCATAAACGAGATCTCTCCGGGTGTCCCGGGTTGCGCGTCTGATGCAACACTGTGAATTTGCAAATAACAGGAGAAGACGTTAATTACAAAACTGCCGGTGCGCCGCAAGCGCGCAATGCATCTCCGCTTCATCCCGGGACGTGGTTCAAAGACCTCGACGGTATATTTCTGGAAATCGACGTGCGTGCATCTCTCCGACGTATAAAAGGTTACTCGTAAATAACAAATTGCCGGGCGATCAAAATCCAATTTCGTCATATCGCGCTACTCTCTCTCTGGCGTCGCTTCTCTTCCAAATCGTTTTATTTTTTTTGTGAGAAATCATCCTTGAAAAAATCTCGCGATCTCCGTGTGTGCTCCTTTACCCGCGTGAAAGTCACCGTAAAACCGCGAGAAGTCCGCCTACCTACTCAAAGTACATACGTCCCACATGGGTGTATTAAGCGTGACCATATATGAACATCGTCGTTCGAAAGCTAAGATCTCTCGCCCAACCCTATCTGTTTTCCCCTCTCCGTCTCCACTCCGCCTTCATCGCGCGCGTCCACAGCTTAGCCGCAATATATGTATGTTAATAGCCAGATATGAGTCACCAATGTCACCGCTATATATAGAGATGACAGTAAAACCGCGACATGGCCGTGCAATTAACATAAGCAGCGATCATTCTCGTCCATCGCGCGGTGATTTGTGTTTGACCTCTTTTTTTATTTTTTTGCCCCCCGCTAGGTCTGACATTTCGATCGCCAGCAGCCGTACAGATTATGTCGACTGGCTCGCGTTGGCTCGAGCCGGAAGAAGCGCGAAAGAGAGACAAGTACCGTTATTCTAAATGCATGCACGCGGTGCGTGCGACGATGTTGAATGCGCGTTGTTGCGTAACCACCAACGAACGGACATAGATGCACAATTGGACCGCGAGCAGTCCCGAGGGTCTTTTGCTGGCTCTACCATTGACGGACCACATTCCCGTTTGTGATAGGAAAGAGACGCGTAGCAAAGAGGAAGATTACTTCGCATTGTTGGTATAAAAATTGTTTAAAAGTAACGTGAAACAATAATACGCGCTAACAAACGCAAAACTAACAAATCGATTAAGAGAAATTACTCTCTTGTGTATATATTATTCAGTTTAATTAGAACGAAATATGAATATTATATCAGTTTGCAAGACTTTGAATATGGATAATAATATTATAGTCAATTTTAGCTCGAAATGCATTTGCTTTGAAACTTAAGATATTTTTACTTTACACAAAACTCTTCTCGTCGTCAGTCGATATATAAATTATCATAAATGTTTTCTTATACATTTGTCTTTAAACTTCAGTATGTGAGTAATAAGTTAGACGCGCGCTACATTGCACACGTAAGCTGATAACTGATAAACGTTTGCAATGCGATAACACAATTTTGTAAATAAATGTGGATTACAGGATCACTTACAAAAAAAACGGTAATTAAAAAAATATTATAGCATCTTATTATTATTATTTATTTAAATTTTCTCGTGTACACAATTTGTTTTTGAAACACACAAACAAAAATATAAAATAACAAAAATATAAATTCAATAACTTTTTTATAGCGTTTACACGTTTTCCTCGGCGTTGTAGAAAAAAAAAATTTTTTTTTTCTTTTTCATTAAGCGGTAGACGAAACGGAGCCTCTCGGATCCGACGGGATCGATACACCTGGCTATATTCAGAGAGAGAGAGAGAGAGGGTCGCACGCAGGCAACGAAACGGCCGCCGCGAAGTGATGCGAAGGAAAACGGCGAGAGGATATCGCCGACTTCCTTTATTTGGGAACGCGTTGCCGTTGCTACGTTGCGAGACCTGGTGTCCTTGGACTCGCTGAATGAGTACACTCGTGTAATCGTTACACAACACAAAAAGCTAGTAATAAAATTTATAAATTTACACGTACGTATTATTACAAAATTTTTTACTCTCTTTGAAAACGCGCTCAGTCGGAGGATAAAAGTTTTTTCGAATAAATTTCGCGAAGATGCGATCTCTTCGGAATATTCAATTGCCATCGAGTTGCTCAACTCGAAAATCAAGTAAACAATTACATTTATCACTAATTGTTATCGCAAAACTCTCATTAGATAACAAACGGGAAAAATAAGACGTAACAAAATAATCGCAACATTCTTGTTTTTTTTTTTTTTTACGTTCTTGTTTTTTTTTATTCGACATAATTCCTTCTTAAGTAGAATAAAGCCGTTGAACACGTAGATGAAAAAAGAAGTCTCGACGTTTATATATACTCTAACATCACGTCCAATCGATTGAGATAGACAACTCGCGAGAAACGGACGTTGACTTGGCCGCGGCAGCTTCAAAACTTACGGAAGCGTAACGACGAATGGTTTTAAGTCACCATTTTCACGATCCTTTTTATCGGATTACCCCGAAGAATATTATAACAAATTTGTTCATTTCCCGAGATGTGATTACTATAGAAGTAGAATTTTTTTAATACCGCGTTTACAAATTAAACTTTTCATATGTAAATTTTGGGAAAGCGACATTCTTCAAGACACAAAAAATCAATTTTGTTCCAAACAAATTCCATATTATATACATACATCAGTAATTTATTTTACAAAAAAAAGCGTCTAGCCATATCGAACCATCTTTTATTCTTGGACGTGTAAAATATAAAAATAATATTGAAAGAATATATCGGAGAGAACGTGTCAATAAACTGATAAACACATCAGAAAATAACTTTATTAACAACGACTCTTTACACAAGAGTCTGATTCATACGATTAACGAGAGATCGGACGTCGGACGTATATCGACACGCGATAATGCAAAGCCACGCACACACACACACACACACACAGACACATACAATCGTCAGTCAAGCGTCCGAGCGCGCGCGCGTTGGAGCATAACGTAAAAATTTTAAAGTATAACCGCCATACGACGGACGCGCGTATAGCGTGATCGCGACGCCGCACGATCATCGCAGGAATTCCATCTGCCTTTAAGCAGCGCGCACACCGAATGTGAACGCGTTCCAACAAAACTGACGCGCAAATGCGACGAAATTTTATCAAATTGAAACTGTAAAAAGATCAATCGCCGCATTAACTGCCGTATTCGGCACAGAAAATTCGATCTATTTGTTTTTTTGCGCAATAGTTTTTTTGTCATTTAGGTGCGTACGCGCCTTTAGGGTCTTGCCGAACGCATCAGTGTAATATGAAATTGCGACGAAAAACGACGTCGCGGAGAAAGATAAAAAAGAGACGATCGACTACGTACAGCAAAAACTAAATAAGTTGGTGAACATATATCGCACGTATATAAAAAAAATATATATGACAAAATACATAAAAAAAAAAAATTGAATAGAATTTACTACATTTTCTACTTCCGTTAATTTTTCCAATAGAACGAGAAATCGAGTCCACTTGGGGATCGACATTTGAGAGAATTGCAACGAGAAAAAAAAGCAAAGGCCGAGCATAGAAGCATTCGCCGGTAAGAGAGAGAGAGAGAGAGAGAGAAACGAGATGTGCGCGCGCAACCGGTCGATGGTCCCCGCGTACACACAGACGATGATCTCTCGTCGTTGCGAGATATTGGGCCACACCCAGCCTCCGATCTTTCCCAGGAAGATTGAACGAATTTAGCAAATTTTCGCGAACGCAACCTTTCTTCTTCGTCAAACTGCGCATTAAAAGCGCACCTGTTATGTCGCGATCACCGGTTTCGCGATCGATGAGAACATGACGTGGTGCATAGAAAATTACGCACCTAAGATGGCCGACGCTTGGCGACGACGCCTCGTAGAGGAACGCGGTAGGTAACGAGCAAAGAAAAGACCAAGGAGGGGAAAAAAGACCGTTAGGGCTTTGCCGGCCGGCCGGCCGGCGAGCTTCTGTCGCCATGACGGGTCTTCGACCGTCATGTCGTCCGGGAGAGAGTCGAAAGGAACAAAATTTATTTGCGCGCATTCCGAGCCCCAGAAAAATTGCAGCACGTTTTCCGATTCACAACCAACAGTCTCTCTCGAATATCGACAGACCTGAAACTCGTGGAACGGAAACTTGAGTGATAGAAATGGCATTTTGGTACCGGCCAAAAGCCCAGAAACCGGACTACTACTCTTCTCCTCCTCACTCCACTCCTTCCCCCTTCCCCACCCCCGCATTCCTCGCGTTGCTTTGCAATCAGAAATCGATTTTTACGAAATTTTCAGATTAATCTCAGACACGGGAGGAAAGGAGAGACGGGAACGGAGAATCGAGACACAAGGTCCAAGGAATTGCGATAGAATTTTCTCGCTCGGACGAACTACTTTGCGAACAAAGGAACGCCGCGAGATGATAAATCGTTTCAGCGAAAAGCAATTCTTTACGCACCTTGGCTCCAATTTGGTTACCACACTGGCCGGCCTGGATGTGGACGATCTCCCTCATGGTGTTGTTATTAAGATTGTGAAGGTACCTCGCAAAAAGGAAACTCTATCTCGTTGTCTAACCGCGACGGTGATTATTGCTATCGACTTGACAGACACAGCGATCACGACACGAGTGCTCAAACGGGTATGTGCCTGTTCCGATGTCCGTTACAGATTTTCAAGTCTCCTCGAATGACGGCAGCGACGGGGCGCGAAGGGGACACAATCGCGGCGTCCGATTGGCGGAACCGCTTCTCCTACGTCGTCGCAATAGGGTACGCAGGCATCACGGAGGAGCCGCACAGCGTTGCCAACTGCGCATGGGCAGCACCGTTGTTCCGCAGCGTCGAAACTTCGGTTTATTGCTACGCCGGTCGCTGAAATAAGTTCCCGAAATTCGTAAGGGAACGATGCCGCATCGCCAGACTCGCGTCATACCGAGCCGTCCGGGGCTCTCGAGGCCCTACGCCATCAAAGTAATTCGATTTTTTTTCGCCGAGACGACATGATACGATATGACATTGACGCTTTTTTTGGTCGGTTTCACTTCCATAGAAACAATGGAACCTGAAAATGCTTCCTCTTTATAGAGCCGATCGCTTTAATTTTTCGGACAAGGGCGCGTTCGAGCGGGGTTTTTCGAGCTCTCTATTTCTGTCGCTCCGCATCTCGGATCGTTCATACATAAATGTAATGTCGACATAACTTTGTCATTAAGTCAATTTAATTTGCATTTAAGATCTTATTTGTATATAATTTGTATATAATTTGTGTATAATTTGTCTATTTCAGTCTACGATCAACAATTTTACAATTCCAGAGAGCTTCAAATATATTCAACGTATATATATCCGCACATAAATGTGTTGCTCTATCTCGAAAAAGATATCGCAGCTGATGGTATATATCCGCATGCAGGCAATTTCCCCGGGTAAGATCCGGTGTTTTCTGCGGCAAGAGTAAAAGAAGGTAAATTTGGATAAAAAAAATTTTATATTAGTACATAGACGTTAAAAAATTCAATCGTTCTGTTTCTCTGAATCCAACAAAATAATAATAATAATTCTGCTTCGTGACCTCAGCTCGATAAATTTATAAATTTTGAGTGCAGCTATACTAATGGCTCTGCAACGAGAATTTCCGGGCGTGCATCTCGCGCGCTTGCAGTTTATCGATTTGCAGGCGTGGTCGGTGGTGCTAAAGCAAGCTGCATGATTGCAGATGCGAGAGAGAATTGGTCACTGCAGGCCACATGCAGACCCGGCCTTTATTCGCCGACCTTTTCCGGCTATATGAACAAAACGTTTATTAAGAGTTAAATAATAATCCAATTTGTCGCTTATTAAGAGTTGAAACAATCGTTCGTCGAAACTAATTAGATTAATTTCAATTACACAGTTGAATCATCGGTTGTGGAGTATAAAGCGTTTATATATCTGAAAATAATGTAATTACGATTAAACTTATATAACGTAATCGAAAATAATTTTGTAAACAAACATGTTTTAATTCTTTCGACAATTTTGTGTGTATTTATAATTCTCGAGTACGTTGCGCGTGAAAACTTTACAGTTATAAAAGTATTTTAAAATTTTATCATTTTGCGGTCGTCTCTCGATGCGCATTCTTCGTGAGTCAGTATTTACCTGTGTACGTACGCGATTACGTTCATGTAACACCACATTACCTTAATAGTGGCGCGCGTTTCTGAATTCTTTCATACATAAGACGCGTTGGCGCATTAAATGTGACGCCTCCTTTCTCTCTCTCTCTCTCTCTCTCTCTCTTTTTCCTCGAAACATAAATAATTAAGTATAAGAAATTCTATTAAAGAGGTTTATTGCGTACATTATATTGTCTTGATGAGCATTTATATCTTTGCACAAATAGTACGCGAGTACGTCCGTTGTGTGATGAGCGACACAGAGAGAAAAACATTTTATTTTCTATGATTAAATTGTGACCCATATAAAGTTGATAAATGCGTCAAATTAATGTACCTTTAGTGTTTGCTCATTCGAATCTAAAATCAATTTTAGAATTTTTATGTTGTTTCCTTAGATTCAGAGATTTTTATTGCAAGTATTGCAAAATACGCGACTAACAAACAATACTTAAGTGTAAAATTTTCACGTCACGTAATATAATATAACAACATGTTTTTCCACATAAAATGACAAATCATCTTATGGCCGCCAGACAAGCACAAATTGGAGGTTTCATCTCGCGTCGTGAAGAAGTCTCGTCACAGTGCCGCGTATCAAGCTTTTGAGATAAATTTCGTGTGCTATCACCCCACGTACATAGAAGTGTCACGTCGAGCGCTTGGACAGAGGGGTCAAGTGCTTTCCTGCCTGTGATATCATACGTGTATACATTTGTGTGTACACGATTTTTGCGAGAGAGCAACGCGCACACATCGGCGCAATCGAGAGCGAGAGAAGGTGTTTGTCGACGCGACGACGATGACGACAGGGTGTAGCCGGTCCTGCTTTGGTCGTTACCTTGTATGGATCAACCTCGCGATCGCGGCGTCGCCATCGTTGGTCCCCCCTCCCCCCCCTCCCCGGTGAGGAGAGAATAAGAGAAAAAAAAAAGAGAAAAGAATCGCGTGCACACAGACACACACGCACGCGGGATATATCGCACGTATCTCTCGCGAGCCCGTGACGCGATCGCGGTTTCGCGTGATAAACGCGCGGCGCGTAACGGGGCCGACATCGATTATGGAGTGTTTCGTGGTCATCACGATTATTTACGCGGCCGGCACAGAGTCGGGAGAGATCACCGCACCGTTGCCTGTCTGTCTTTCCCGGCTGCAACGTCGGTGGCACAATACACAAAGCAACCGTATCCGACATGCCAAGTGCGCCGACCAACCTCGACGCTTTCGTACATATGCTAATTTTGCGCAATTCAATCTCGCAGTCCATCGATTTTTTTTTTTTTTTTTTTTTTTGTTTATTGAAGCGCAAATTCTCAATTACGTAGACATTCACATTTTTCGCATTCTTATTTGATTTGCGACACAAAATATCAAATATAGTTGGTAATTTTTCAGCAACTGTAAAACGCTGATTTGTCTGTAGCGGCATTTTTCAATATTTCCTAATTAGTGGCACGATTGATAATCGGTTGAAAAATGCTATTAATTAGTTATTTATTATTTTTAACATTTTTATTTTTTGCAGAAAGAGAGAGAGAAAGAGAGAGAGAGAGATCGATGGATGGATGCGACGGAAGTCTGGCTTGTGAAGTCGAAAGTCGCCTTTCGTTAATCTTACCGCAGAGATTGCATAACGTCTCGGACAGAGAGAGAGGAACAATATCCACGTGTGGATATGCTCGGCTTAATGCCCCTGTGTCCATTGTCCTTCGTTGGCTTTGCTATTAAGTAGCGAACATAAACGCAGGATGACATCACGTCCTCTTTTAAAAGACGCGAACTATCACGTTCGAGCACGCGCGCTCGTGTGCGAGCGAAAAGTGACATTCGCGTTATTACGTGTCGCGATAATTAGCCGATTGATTCGTATCAAAACCGAAACGATTTAAATTTTACTTCTATAAGCGCGCAATGTGTACAACAACTGGAAACGATTTCTCCCTCGCCCACGTTCCTCGCCATTTGCCGTTGAAAAACATCGTTACGATACAGGAAGTGCTCGTATAACGCGAGAGAGAACGTGACATCATCTCTCGCGCACTTAGTGCTGATGAATTTGTTGACTTTCCAATCGGAATTCAGAAGTGTTTGGATTTCTTAGAGGTAATCAAATATCTTGATATATATTTTTTTAATTAAGGGAATGAGCTTGTATATTAAATTATTATATATATATATATATTAAATATATATATATATTAAATATATATATATATATATATATATATATATATATATTAAATTATCATACATACAAAGCGTCTTGAGACTTTACTCGTGCACGTAGTCCAGCGACTATCTTTTAATCTAGCACGACCAACCTTCAACTTCTAAGCTCAAGTCGATTGATTCAACACACGTGTCGTTGAATTCGCACCTGGCAACAGGCGACATTGTGTACGCATGTCACAGAACGTCATCGGGGGTGAACTATGAGTTACGGTTATCGACCTTGGACGAGGGGAGGCGCCGAGCGCTTTCTCACCCCGGCGCGCGGTGGAGTTTTCACCGCAGAGAATCATCATCATGGTCGCGCAAAATTTCTGCGAAAAAGGAAACCGTAAATCGAACGAACCTCGACGAGAATAATTACGAAAAAGGGGGTTGTCGAAGCTAGGTATTCTGAGTCAGAAGCGTCGTCCGTTGAGTCACCGTCGCAATCAATATCTCTTGATATATATATATATGTGTCTGTGTGCGTGTGTGTGTGTGTTGCCGCAGGGGTAAATCGTATACTTGAGGGATACTTACCTCTGCCAACCAGATATTTAACTAGCGATTATCCATCATCGACGAAAAGAATTTCCGTTTATATTTTTAGCCGTACGTTGTAAAAGAAAAATGATAAAATAAACGAGGGGAATTTGTGAAATTTTTGTAATCCTGATAATACATTCGCTCGAGCAAAGTTCGAACAAAACGATGTGATAATAACAATTCACGGAAAAGATCTGTAGACATGTGACATTGATCATATTTGTCTCCGTCAATGAGGTTTAATAAAAAAAAAAAAAAAAATTACATAAATACGGGGTCGTGCGGAGGTGGCGCGGGAAAAGATAGGAGCGACCCAGACTATGGGCAACCGACTAAGACCTTGCCCCGCCTGGTATTTTATTGATCCTTAGAAGGTGAACGGCAACTGATACGCCTACATAGGCGTATATGTATGTCCTCATCCATTTGTTTCACGACTGACGTAATCTAGCCAGTCAACGGAGTTTAGCTCCCTGAAAGAGATAATGTATGTTACCGTGCGTCAGAGCATGTATCAAACTGTCACAAAGATTTGTCTTGCGCGATCTTCAATCGCGAGTACAAATTTGTGTAGAAAAAAAATTTTATTTCTTTTCGATTTCGCTATTTGGATTCGCGTTCTGGATGATTTAATTTGTCATTTAAACACATGTTCTGTATATGGGTAACGAGTGTAAAAAAAGATAAAAGACAAATTTCGCGCAGCACAAAACTTGTACGCGACTTGTCGCTCTTGGGTGTTGTTTTTCCGTAGGTGCGTCCTGTTTTGAAACGTCTCTTATGTCTCATATCCAGGCCAAGATTTTGTCACATGACCACTTTCTCGCGGGATCGAACGGATTATTCGAAAACGGACTTACAACGTCCGTTAAGGTGTTTGCCGTAAATGGCGTCGTCTTCTACCCGCGGAGATTTCGCCGACGTGCGTGTTTCTCAACTAAAGAGAGAAGATGAGTATTAATAAGAAAAAACACTGTGTGTTCTTGATATTAAAATACAAAAACTATACTTCCAAAATACAGTAGAAACTATTATTTACTTGATTACATAAGATTTTTGTATCCTTATTTTATAGTGTCGTGTTTTTATTATAAAAATTCAATTATCAACAAAAGCTTATACGTGTGTCGATGACGCAAAAGTATTTCATTCAATCGTTAAAGTATCACACGCGTCGAGATACCATTTAAAGCCAATAAAAGGTCTTTCATTCAATGAAGAAATAAGTATTGAGAGAGCTCTCCGTTCCGTGCGAGCATTCGTTTTAAAAACGAAACACCGCGTGCGAGTACAAGGTGATCTCGTTAGTTGCTTTTGTGCGCGCTGTCACATCAGCACAAAATACAGAGTGTGCAGCAAAACCATCCAAATTGGGAAATGTCACCTATATATATCGAAACGGAAACATAAAAAATAGAGTTTCTTTTTTTTTTTCTTTTTTTTTTAAATGTATCGCGTAATTTTTACAATATTGTTTTGCGATAATACGGGCAGTTTGAAACAAACTAATGTTCGTATACACGCAATTATACGGTACGTGTGAAAATGTAAATTTGTAAAATTCGCCGAGACATTCTTTTGTTGTATATATTCGCAATGTTTCATTCCACGGAATGAAAACTAAAATTTATTTCCACACATTTAACTCGCGCGTAATAAATCGTCTTGATTTCCATGCGCGAGAGGTAACTCCTCGAAACAGGAACGCAGGACAGCTCGGGTGTGTGTTTTATCGTTTTATGGTCCTGAAGATTTAAAGAGCGGGAGGAGATTTTCTTAAGGCGTTTTCGCGCGCGAAGTCGCGCCTTCTCTCTCCGAGAGTTCTTTTACCGTTTTGCAAGAGGTGAAAAAAAAAAAAAAAAAAAAAAAAGGAGAAGATGATAAAAGCTCGCGAGCGAGCGAAAAAAGAGAGACAAAACGGAGAAATCGCTTGCCCATATTTGGCTACACTCCGCTCCGCAATCTACATTCCGCGTGTTCCTTTTTTTTTATTTTTATTTTTTTGATCGCTCGCGCCCACATAATCTACATATTGCTTTTCTGCATCGCACTGGACGAAGCGGCCATTTTTTTTTCAATACAGAGAGCGTAATAGCACATTTTTATCGCACCAAGTGACGCGACTTTGCTATTTTTTTTTTTTTTTTTTTTTTTCGAAACCGCGCAATTTATAGATTATAACAAAATATACGGATCTGTAATAAAAAAACAAAAAAAAAACATCCAAATTTAAATTACTTAAACACATCTTTAATTCTCTCTCTCGCCCTTATCTGCGTAATTTTGTTTAATTTATATTTGAAATAATATTTATATGTGTCTGCACATAAGAGAGAGAGAGAGAGAAAGAGACAGACAGAGAGATATAACGATGAAAGAAATGAGAGGAAGCGAGACAGATCTCTCCTCTCTTGATTAGAAGTATCTCCATCTATTGGTTAGGTTTCGCGCATGTACAGGGTTTATTTTTGAGTACGCGCTATCACAAAATATACCGACGAATAAGCCGACAGAGGGTTGCACCACTACTGTGTGTGTACACGCGGTGTTGTGCCTGAAAATTGCGGCTGTGTCTATTATTCTCTTTTTCTGATTTCTGTCTTTGTTTTGTCATTGCGCGCTATACGTACGTACGTGCACAATCGTGTTTTATCGAGTTGCTTCGAGGCTTCCTAACCAATGAGCGCACGTTGACACGCTTATTGTTTTTAATTGACTTTGCGCTGATAGTTGCCAACAGGTTAGTTTTATTATTCTCTTCATTGTGTGATCGCCTTGCAAACGTGTGACGAAGTGTTGTTGTTGTTGTTGTTTGAAGGATGTTTACTTTTAGCGAATTAAATGTTAACATGTGCGTAAACCTTTCTTTGTGCAACTCTGTGGAGGTTATTTTTATATATATTATTGTTATTACTTAACACATCTCATTGGTGAAGTGCATTATTTAAACATATCGTTTGTTGCGTTTGATCTACAATTTTAGAGCATTAAATTGAGTAGATATTCTCTTCTTTATATCTGTTTTTATAATTTTGCATACTCAAAAGACTTGGTTAAACTTTGTGTGTTGTATTATTTCAGCTGTAAAGTATTTTATTTTGTCAGGTTTTAGGAATAAAATGGCTTCTACATCGTTGGAACAAAGATCTATTGCGCAGAAAACATGGGAGATGGCAAACAACATTGAGGCTATCAGTGCCGCGGATGAAATTTACAGATATGATAGGAAGGAACAACAGGACATACTGACTGCCAAACCATGGGAAAAAGAGTAAGAATGTCTGCTAGTGTGATGTAAAAAATTCCTTGATAAAAAAAAAAAATTCTACATTCTATCTTTCTTTTTTACATTTGTAGTCCCCATTTCTTCAAGGATATAAAAATATCTGCGTTGGCTCTGTTAAAAATGGTTATGCACGCACGATCCGGGGGAACCTTGGAAGTTATGGGTCTGTTACTCGGCAAGGTGGCAGCAAACACAATGATTGTCATGGATTCCTTCGCGTTGCCGGTTGAAGGAACAGAAACTAGAGTAAATGCGCAAGCTCAAGCTTATGAATATATGACAGCTTATATAGAAGCGGCGAAACAAGTACGTATACATTTATCGATACAAGGATTGAAAATTTATAACGAAAACAATATAACCTGAGAGATAAATTGCTGTTGTAGGTTGGTAGATTAGAAAATGCAATTGGTTGGTATCACAGTCATCCCGGATACGGTTGTTGGTTGTCTGGCATCGATGTATCGACTCAGATGCTTAATCAGAATTTCCAAGAACCTTTTGTCGCTATTGTTATTGATCCTGTGAGAACCATTTCTGCCGGCAAAGTGTGTCTAGGTGCCTTCAGAACTTATCCAAAGGTAGACGCGAAATTAAAATTGTTCAAGTTTTTGTATGTGTGTGTGTATTTTTTTAAATTTTGTACGTACGTGTATATGTTTTAATTTATAGTTTTTTTTGGGGGGGAGATCCCAAATCATTGCAAGATATGTTTACAGGGATATAAACCGGCAAATGAAGAACCTTCGGAGTATCAAACAATACCGTTAAACAAGATCGAGGATTTCGGCGTTCATTGTAAGCAATATTATTCGTTAGAAGTATCCTATTTCAAGTCCTCGCTTGACAGACGGCTGCTCGATTCGTTGTGGAACAAGTACTGGGTGAACACTCTGAGTTCCTCCAGCTTGTTGACGAACGCAGATTACACCACCGGTCAGATATTCGATCTGTCAGATAAACTAGAGCAATCGGAATCGGCGCTGGGAAGAGGATTCGTTTTAGGTGGCACAGATCCTCACGATCGTAGCACAGTGGAAAAACTGATAAAAGCTACGAGAGACAGCTGTAAAACCACTATCGAAGTGATTCACGGTTTAATGGCGCAAATCATTAAGGACCGATTGTTTAATCAAGTTGGCGGCAACGCGATTACCTGTAATCCGCAACAACAAAAGCAATAAAATTTATATGCGGTAATCACTTTGCAATGTGAATATTTACTGAATTTGTAATAAAGATCTGTGTTTTTTCTCCGCTTGTGTTGAAAACGCGTGTCGTCTGTAAAAATATTTATTTCAAATACTCAATTGAAAAAAAACTCTTGAAATCTTTATCACTTTTTCTCTGAGAGATAACTTTAATAACGAATTTAAAAAATAAAACCAACGTATGCAGTAACTGTAAAGTGGTTTCTTTTCGAACAATTACACACAAAAAAAAAAAAAAAAAAAAAAAAGATTCCGAATAGACATGTGGAATAAAAATACATTTTATTTTCACACTTGCTAAAAAGTATATACAGCAGTTTTTATCAGTAATCAATATCCTCATATGTATATGTATAATTTATATATATATATATATATATGTCTGTATTATGTATATACATATATAAACGCATACACTGCATATATGTATACATACAATACACATAGAAGTAAGTTTATAAAACTAATATGTAATATTTATCCGAGAACAAGTAGGCAGAGCAAACCCCCCGCTGAAGGGCTGACGCGCTGTCGTGTCACAGACTTTTAAAAGGACAAGGCCACTCAGAAAAACGCATATACCCACCTGTTCTATAATAGTTTTTTTTTTTTGTTTTTTTTTGTTTTCTTTTTACACATTCCCTAACATTCTTGCGCGCGCGTGCACTCGACACTCGCACATTTCTCGCACAACATATAAGGGACGGAGCTAAAATGCATACGGTTGTGTGTATACTCAATCAATTTGTAAACAGGTAATTGGTTTATTACAGAGAAACGCCCGGTTTTTTTTTTTTTTTAGAAAAATTAGAAGACGCACGACGATTGTTCGCAACAAGTGCCACGGAGAATGAACTCTTCGAGAGATGAATTTACTATATAGTATGTACATATGTAACCGCATCCCCCCACGTTTATTTACGTAGTAGTTTTATCATGCTGTTGGAATGAATTAAATTAATTAAGTACAACAGCGTGGTGTTTTTTTTTTTTTTTTTTTTTTAATATATATATATGTATGTATAAACCTAATTCGTAGGAAAAAGTCTACGGAAAATAGATCTAAACCTGTTTCTTTTCTTTCTTCTCTTGTCTATTGCTCCCCGGAGTAGTACTAGACCTCTCTAAAATTGTATATAGCTATTGTTAGAGAACTCATATTTGTCGCTCATCACAGGCTTCGCGCACGAAAACAAAAACAAAGTTTGTGAACGAACGTTAGATTGTTGAGTGACCGAATTTCATTCGCACACCTCTTTCTTTCTCTCTCTCTCTCTCTCTCTTTCATTTTCGTCATATGTATCATAATAATATGTACAAGAGTACGATAAAAACTGACGCTATTTAATTACAGCACAATCCCCCCCGGATGTGCATGACCGCAAGTTTCCTCCGAGTTATATCGGCGAGAACGTCAAATTTCCAATCTACGGGGACTGTGCTGTAATTACTACGAGTCGAGCAGTAAACTTAAGCGCCAAAATTAGACGATAAAAATTAATAAAGACACATGCATCGTTATTTCGCTGTTACTTTATGTTAGTTAGTCTTTAGCGCAACTTAAAGAAATTACCCTATTGTCAATATACAAGACATTCCGAGGATTTTTCCGCCGCATTGCGCTTATAAATGTTTCGAATATTCCTCTTGTTTCGCAAATGTTAACAAAACTTTTTTGCGTGGTCTCGCAGTTATTTTGTTGTCACATATGATACCCCCAGCAAACAAATTTCTGACCGCGCAGATCTTGGCAACGGAAACTGTTTGCCAAGAAAAACGTTACAATACGGAAACATGCATTGGTGTTTCCGCCAAAACTGTTAAGCGCACGAAGGACGCAACATGGTTACCAAACCATATTCTAAAGAGAACACAGATAGATATGAATTTGGTCTACAAATTTTACTGGCGGTTGGCGACATCCCGCAAAGCAAAAATTGTTTGCTGGGTATATTAGGTTTGCTCACGCAAAGATTCACAACGCGCGCGTTGTTACGAAGTTACAGGATGGATCGGCGGGAGTATACGCGAAAATGTGAAATCAAAATAGGCTTGTTCTCGCGGTGTCGTCGTGAAAATTATGTATACATTATTATAAAACGCACACACTCGTCTGTCTCATTTCAACCTGTAACATCTCGAAGAAGCGTAAGAACATGGATGGCACAGTGCCGGGAAAGAAAATCCCCTGAAACATCTTATATATACGTACGTAATTATAATTCTCCAGCTTTGCACGTTCGTTCGTTTGCTAAAAAAAAACAAAAAAACAAAAACTTACAACGTAATCATTTAGACGTGTTAGAATTTGCGATCAATCGTGTGATCATTTAAAAAACGTCCAAGTTTGTTTTCTCATCTGCGCGATTAAATTGTTGCGGCTGAAGAGCGATGGTCCGTAAATGACAACTCCCGCGCTCGTGTGTGTGTGTGTGTTGTGAGTATAAAAGAAATTTAATAAAAATTTTATATAAAATCCAACAGCGAAACATTGTCGGGACAATTATTATTTTGTTGAGATCTCTTCGATCTCTGATGATAACAAGTAGATGCAATAATACGCGCGAAGGATAAAAATCACAATAAGAGAAATTTCAGACCTCCGATGTGATACTCTGAAACGCAAAATTCGAAACCGCGTGATACATTCGATAGCACGTGTCACATACGTGTGTGTTCGACTTGCTTCCTCAAAACATATGACAGATTTCACGCACGCGAAATCAAACTGTCGTACTTCGTTATCGAATGAACAGCTCTATCGCGTGTACACGTATAAAAATTCTTCTCAGGTTCAATCTTGCATATATACTTCTCTTTTTTCTCCTCCCCCTCTCCCTACCTCTCTTATAATTTCTTCACTTTTCGCACGCGTGCGCGCACACGCGATTAACTAATATTTACAAGACAATCGGGCGAATTTAGAAGAACTCGCGGTCTTACTTACAAATATAGCAGTAGAAAAGATCGATTTGTAACAGCGAGAGTTTCAAAAGCGCCGTCTCATTGATAATCTTGTTAGGGGGCAATGATTAGCACTTTCGGTGACGGCATATATCTCCCTTTTCTCTCCCGGTTTTCTATTTTCACTCGAATTGCAATTAGCGTATCACGCGCGTATCTGATATACATATATATATATTGCCTTTCCTCAGTCATTCCTCATTCATCTTCATTTTCTATCTTAAATTTTAGCCTACATGAAAAATTGAGCGCTAAATTAGGAGCCGATAACAAACAAAATTGCGACCGATCAAAATACGCACGATATTTTTTCCTAATTCTCTACTTTCACGTGTTTCAGTTTAGATTTAATATTTACATTGTTTTTTGTTTTTTTTTTTTTTTGTTTTTTTCTTGTTTTTATTTTTTTTATTTTTTATATGTACCCCGTTTTCCTCGCAAACATATGTGTGTGACACACAGTTCCCGCGTTCAGCGGAACGCCACTCGTGCGCGATTTTCTGCCGAACGCGATTGCTGCAGCAACGAAAAAGGAAAAAAAAAAAACAATACTCATGTTCTCACAGCGTAACAAATGTAAAACGAAATAAATGACACAAAATTTTGAAAAAATCTTCCTACGTGTTGCTCGTGTTGCCTACGATGTAAAATTTACGGAAACACACGTATTCGCTCGCGCAAGAATTTGTCAAAACAGTTTTCTTTTTTTTTTTTTTTTTTTTTTTTTTGCGCATGCATTCAGAGAATTGGATAAATTTTAAGACAGATAACGTAAGGATGTTTATGCGAAATTAATTGACCGCTGATATACGCTCCGATCGACAGCGTGTTTTAAGCTCTTGTTGGCCTCGCGTGTTTTATACAATCTGA